AAACTAATGTGCTAACTGACCTCAAATTAATGTCATTTTGTAGGGCATAAACTATTGATATTCTATGCAAGTTGTCCCTTACATCCCTGAATTCCCTCACATTCTCTTACGACGTGGACCACGAGATCTAATCGTTCCTAAGTTAAGGTTATTAAATCAGATTATGTACACAAAGTCAAACCAATAAATGAAGTCGGTCTTGCATACTCGTAGACTTGAACATTTGTACATTATAATCGTCAAACCATAACGTTAAAAAAAAAAACAATCATAATATACAATATCGATGCATAAAAAGCAAGCGAAACATATTGTTGTGGTAATGTAGGATAAGAACATCTACCACTTCTCGAACCTCACTCCAACCATCATTACAAATGAAGATCATACACAAGCAAACGCACATACGAGAGACAAACGGAATCAAATATATATAGATACCAATCTGGAAAACGACTTATTCCTGGCCGTGAAATGAACGCCAATTAATTAATTAAGCATGCTTAATTAAAGCAGTAAGTACCCAAATCAATCACTTGATCCATGGCTTGGGCTTAGCAGCAGCAGCAGGCGAAGTAGTTGAAGTACGGACGAACTTGTTCTTCACGTGGCTAATATAGTCAGAGAACTTGCTGTCCTTCCCAACCCCTGAATTGCGCTTATCATAATTATACCGATTGTTGTCGCCGCCGCCGCCGACGGTGGACAGCGTCCGGAGCTTCCTCCTGACCCGACCGATGTAATCGGTGAACCTGTCCTCGACGTGAATCCTCTGGTGGCTGCTGTGTTGCTGCTCGCCGCCGCCGCCGAAATCATGCGGCGGCGGCTTGAATGACACTGCAGCAGCTCGATTGTGATGTGGCGGCGCCGGCGGCGGCGGCTGGGGTGGTTTGGATTGGATGTCGATCACCCTTGTGGTGGCGGAAGATGGGGATTCCGCCGCGGCGGTGGCAGTACTGCGGCGGCGGTGGGTGGTGGTGGTGGTGGTGGTGGAGGTGATGCGACGGGGATTTTCGCCGCCGAATGCGGCTTGGTGGATCTTTCTGCACATTTGGTTCAGTGGGCAACCTTTGTGGCCACAGCCCTTGTTTTCCATGGAGTGCTTGTTTTCCATGGAAGTGGATTGCTGCCATTTTTATAGTGTTTGCTTTTTGGGTGGTCTTATCATCAGATTCCTTGTAGTCACTGCAAAACTTCCAAGCAACACATTATTATCGTTTTGTATTTTTTTTAATTGTATATTGGTGAAGTGACATTTTGGGCCATGTACTATACAACTTTTTAAAGTAGGTCCCTAATTTATAAAAACTATACGTTTTAAGTCCTTTAACTGTGTAATTTTTTGAAACGGTTTCGTCTGGTTTTTTATACGCATGTTTTCAACTAATTCTACATTCGATCTTCTGATTCGCCCGAATGGAAAATTTTGATTCGCCATTTGTTCTTTGAAGGTGGGCAACCAAACAACTCGGTTCCGTGGTAGGAGGTCCATCCGCCGCCGTTGTTTGTGGCTCGATGACATTCCATTTTCGGGAGGAGAAATTCTTATATATATGTGCCACCTTATTCACAACGTACAGTCAGCAGTCAATCGTTCTAGTTAGAAAGAAACCCTCAAAGAGCAAAAACTAGGATTTTTGAGAATGTCACGGGTGATAAATGTAATGTTGTGGGCCCATGAACGAGAGAAAAGAATTCCGTCGTGGTTTTGGTGAGCAAGCTAGGGTTCAAGTTATTTTGGTTGTCCTCCTCCTCCTCCCAAGATGAAAAAGGATTTTTCGAACAAGAGATTTGGAGTGCGTCAATGGAGTATGGTACCCTGGAAGGGAAATGAGACGGAAGGAGTGGTTTGAAAAAACTCGCATCGTCCAGTGACTTAAAAACTTAAAAAACAAGTTCATCCGTTCGGTACAAGAGCTTGTTTGAAGAAAGTGAAGAATATATGGACACATATCTAACTTACCCTTTTACATTTCCAGAAAAAGAGAGAGAATGAGTCGGGGTCGCATTATATATGATTAACATTTTTCTGAGGATTTCAACAGGCACCAATTGCGAAAGAGGGGAGCCGAAGGGGAAGCAAAGCAAGGCATCCTCAGCATGGTATCGGATTCATAAGGACTAATGAGAGAAGAAGAACCTAATTTTGAATGATCCCAATGCCATCTCCTTTTTTTCGTTTTCACATCTTGGCGAACTTTTTACGTACAACTTTGCTTGTTTTCCTTGATGAAATAATTAACAACTACTGTGTGTGGGTGGCTCCACAGCAAAGTTCAACCCCAAATAGAGAGAAAGACTGAGTTGCACTTCCATTTTTTTTTTCCTGGTTTAATTAGGTGCGAAATTTGTTTACATATTAGACGAATACGAGACAAGAAATGACATCCATTTATATAACCTTGAACTAGAAAAAAACCTCAAAGAAACTCTAGAAAAGCCCGGGATGTCAATCCACTCTAGACTAGACCTAGCTGGTTGTTAGTAGGGCTGTCAATTTGGTCCGAGCTTTTTGGGTTTACTTGAAATCGGACCGGAATTGGATAGCAAACAATCTAATCCCGTTTTCGGGCTTAGATTTGAGGTAAAAAAAAAAATCTTTTGGGAACAGATCGAAAACCGGATAAGAGAGCGCAGCACCCAAAACTTAACCAACTCCTCACCTTTTGAGGTCTCAGGCCACTCAAATCTCCACAAGCTCAATCTAAAATCAAGACCGAATTGGGACCGGACCAGATCAAAACCGGACCAAACTGTATCCAATTCAATCTTTGATTCTTATATTCCTGAAAAGACCAGACCGGACCGTATAACCAGCTCTAGTTGTTATGCCAACTATTAGCTTGGATTCCACGGATGACCATATGAAATGTGCCTTTAATTAGGGTGTAAGCAGTTGGGTGTGCATTTTATTTCCACGTGAGACACGCAAGAACAAGAAAGTCCCGCGCAGGCAGATTCGATACGCCCAGGGCCCTAGTTAGCTCACATCCCATTCATGCCTAAAGTTAAGAAGATGAAAAAAGGAAAGATACGCAATATAATATCAAGAATGGATGGATAATTCACAGATGAGATAAACTGCTGCCATTGCCAAGCCAACATTTTTCCGACGAATATTCCAATCTTCAGTTGATCTCATTGCTTCTGGGTTGCTGCTGTCATCCACTCACATTGGTTCTCTTCCTCTATTTAAGATCTTACCTATTTGGGCTATTAGCTCCGATATATCAAATCGCGGTTCCCAGCAGCAGATCCAGGATCAGGTAGAGCACATAAATGATATTGGTTATACACATACATGGTTGAGTGAATTCACAAAGAATTACTCCACTCACTATGCTTCTATGTCATGTCACGGCCAACATGTAGCTCGGGCTGCTTGCTAGGGAGACACGGGGGCACCTCAATCTATCTCGCGGTTCCATATGTTACATAGCGAAAAGGGGTAGTGTGTTGTGACTTGTGACGTGTATTGCATTCGATGCAAGAGTACTATATAAGGGATTCATTCATGTCACCATCCAACTAGATGTTGATTACAGACAACCAAATACAATTATAAAATAATGAGGATTTTAAACAAACAAGTTATATATATAAGCAATAATCAAATGTTACATCGTCTAAGGAACCTCTAGGGTTCACAAACCTATGTAATTGGCGACACTTGCTGTAAATTGCGGAAGGTCGTTCGCCGTTCCCTTTCGTTTTATCCAACGACAGAGGAGGTCGTTCGTGAGTCACGTTAGGTGACAACACACCTAATTTTGGGTTGGTTATTCACGTCATATTTGCGTTATTCACGCCATATTTGTCTCATTCACGTCATATTTACATTATTCACGTAAGAGTGTTGATTATTCACGTAACCAATATTGTTAGATCACGTCACCTGATGTTTATTCACGCATATTATTAATTATTCACGTCTTTGTAAAATAAAATTTTTAACTTTGAAATATATCAAAATTGATGTCATTGTATAGATTATGATCAATGCAACATATTTGTTTTACAGATTAAATGATAATCCAAATCTATTTTCATAAATTATAGTCAATACAAATTATTAAGAGTTAACATATTTGTATGGCCTGAACTGTGCACATAATAAACATCATGGCCAATCTTTTCGATCTATAACATCTTGGCCCAAACTATACATCAAAGTTACTAAATTGGCCAAACTCGATGTTTGACCGTTATCTTTGACGGTCAACGCGCCACGTCATTGCCAAGTCAACACCTTACACTTAAAAGATTATATATTTTCCACCTATTACCATTTTTATTTTTCATTTTGAACCAAAAAAATAAATAAAGGAAAAAGTTATTTCGTGTCCCCTTATATCTGCCATAATTTTTTAAATAATTTTTTTTTAATTCCATCATTTATTTTCACGGATTTCAAATTAATCTTCTACATAATAGCCATTTTCGATTTTCCACAAATATAAACAAATAAAATCAAAATTAAAAAATTTCCAGCATTTATTTTCACTCATTCCAAATTAATTTTCCACATAATATTTATCTTTAAATTTTCCACAAATATGAACAAAGAATTAAAAAATGAAAAAAAAATTAATAAAAATGAAAATTTAAAAAATGTCACCGTTTATTTTCAGTAATTTCTAATTAATTTTCAACATAATACCCATTTGGTTTTAAATTTTTATTAAATTGTTGTATTTTTAAATAAAATATCCATTTTATAGGTGAAAATATATAATTTTTTAATTGAAAGGTGCCGACTTGGAAATGATGTGGCTCGTTGACCCTTATTTATTCAATAACTTTGATGTATAGTTTGGGCCAGGATATTATAGATCGAAAAGATTGGTCTGAATGTTTATTGTGTGCAAAGTTCAGGCCATACAAATATACTAACCCAATTATTAATGGGAAAAGTAAGAATTTCCATTTACATGAAAAATGTACACTCTTACGTAATCGTCATAGTATTACGTGAATAAGCACAAAATGGGTAAATAAACGGATTTTAAGTGTTCTGTCCGCTAAGGTGACGAGACGTTTTCCAAGAAAAGAGTGAGCAAATTGTACAAACGAGCTGCAACGACGATATAAAAGGCAGCGTATTGAATGTGGAATCCCATAGGCCCTCCCTAAGCCAATAGCCACGGCAACTTCACCATCTTACAGGTCCAGTTCTTGCTTCTCTGGTAATCAATCCCACCCGAACCCACACAATCATCGTCAAAAATCAATGCACAAATTGTGACCTTACAACTAATTTCCTTACAGATCATTTACATACAGTCTCCGGACAACTGTTGTCTAGGGGATCTTAAGTGGCCACAGACAGTTCTACTGACAAACTCTCTCCATCAAGACCAATTATACACCCCTGTATCTGGATGAAACTAAATTGAACTTAAGATCCGCAATGGCCAGCTTTACACAACGAACGAAAGCTCTTCCTTAGAATAAGGCTCTGAGAATTTCAACAACTCCCTGGTGTCTGTCCTTGAATAGCGACCGGATACATGTATACCATCTTTCTCGAAGTTTTGTCAGTGGCGGAAGGTCTTAACCACCTGTTCTATCCGTCTCCGGCAAAGTGGGCAGTTGGTGAGATGTGAAGAGCAAGTTGTACAACAGCACATGTGCCCACACCTGCACATTCATAAGACACGGATATTATAACAGTTGATTCTATCAAGCAGTTCGTCTTACAACTAGCGGCACAAGGCATTTGTTTGCATGTTTCGAATGCTGAGAAGCATGTGGGGGATAAAATGCAGTGTACTTACGGGAGAAACACAGCATTGTACTCGTGCTCGAGACATATTACGCATATATCTGGAATGGGACGTTCTCTCTTAGAACCATCTGCTCCATTCTCAGCCACTCCATTTGCACCTGAGAAAACGAGTCCGGATATTGTAATACTATCTGCTAGCTTCATTATTTTTAGACAATGTCTGATTCAGAAACTTATTACCTTCACCATCTTGATTGCCTGATCTTTTTGCAGCAGCAGCAAGTACTCTGCAAGAACAAAGTCAACATCTTTCACGATCTTGGAATCAAGGAGCTATTGCGCACCAAAGCATGATTCATACCACTCGAAATTCACAATGTTTGCAGGTCAAAGATTTTCAAGGAAAAGAGCAGCTCAGATGTTAAAAGACACACTTGCTCCAAGGAGAGCAGTTTAGACTCCTCTTCCACCTACAACAATACAAGTAAATGACAAAATTGATACCTATTCTGCAACTCCAAACGTTGCCTTCTCTCCATGATATAATCTATGGCTTGCTTAGCAATCAGAAAAGCACCAAACACTGTCAACCCCATTGAGGCATACTTATACCACCTGCCAAAATAATTCCGGATCAACAACTTTTCTACAATCAGGGTTAACAATTAAGATGAAACCAAAAGGCAAGGCTGTGCATTTCCATTTTTCCAACTCTATATGAAGATGGTGTGTGCACAGATTGTGTATGTTCATGAAAAACAACCTTGCCCACTTCCCCAGATTGCCAATGAGTTCATCAATGGTCTTTGGAGATACATAAAAGGGACCTTTATGCGGACGCTGAACCCGAACTTTCCCGATATCATCTTTGACAGCCTAATCATATAAAATGGAGAACGGAGATAAGGAGCACAGTGGAAGAAATAAGAGTATATGAAATGCACATGACCACAAACATGTTTCAACATACATAATAAATAAACAAATAAAAAGGTGTTCCAAAGAAACAACAGAAGCTTAAGCAAATGCAGGAAATTAAAAGTCAAAGACCTACAGATTTAGAGGATCGCAGAAGACGACATGATTCCAAAAAAATTCAAAGGATTAGCATAAAGAAATTAAGACTGCAAATGAGAAGACGGGATGGATAAACTAGAAGGATACCAAATGAAAGGTGTCACCTAACTATGAACTTGAATCACCAAATGGATAAATGTAACAGGGACATGAAAACTAACCAACAAGTGAAATGATCGTCAGAAATCAGAAAGATGGCATACACAAAATGATAAAGACCCTACACGTTCACTATCTAATAAGTATGCACAAGCAGTCTCACAAGACCCCACTCATGTTGACTTCGAAACTATTGATACAGGCTGATTCAGCAAATAAAATGATGAAATGCATCGAATGCTGTATTTGGAAATATAAGTTTTGAAATTTTTAAAGATAAGAACAGAATTCAGCCATATTAGTAGTTGAACTTGAATCGATACAATACCTCGCCAACTACAGTCAATGAGGTACCAGTTGGAAGTACTCGCTCAATTCGCTTCACTCCAAGCATCTGAAACCATCAATTCCTCAACAAACTTAATGAAAATGTCCCAACCACCCAAGTGCCTTATATACTGATCAAACGCCAAAAAGACAAACCTTCAGGCCTTGAAGATAATCTAGTGTTCCACGTACGAGCGACCGTCCTGACTCTTCAAAGACTTCACTTGCCACAGTCAACACAAAACCAGAGGCACCACGGGCCCCGAGAACAAATACACGATCGGTTCCATCATCCTGTGCAAGATTAAGTTTCCACATCAGACCTACCCATTCTAGTCTCCTTTGGTCCAAGTGGAAAGGACAATATTTGTTTCCATCGAAAGATAAAAAACTCAACTGAAGTTGAAAGTACAACTCTTGTCTTATTTCTATACTCTTCTATGAACGACCAGTGATGTATTTTGCATTTGTATTACAAGGAGAGTATCCCCATATGCAGGATAGAACACCTAGAGATGGAAGGGACTGATCGAACTGCCAGGGTATTGAGGAGGAAGGACCTCTGGATTAGGGTAAAACCTAATATGGGAACTTCAAAGAATGACATGATTTTATGATTGATTGATTCTATGTCAAAGATAATTTCAGAATCTATGGTTAATTGATTGACAGAGTGTTACTACGCAAGGGTACTTGTCAATGCTAATTTCGGAATTCCCACAGTCGAAGACTGATTTTTCAGGGGAAAAAAGTATAAACAAATTTGATGCATTGAATGGGAAAAGGGATCACTCACCAGGTACCATGGCACCTCTTTACTCATTGATAGCATCAAGGCCGAATCTTGAATCCAGGAACCAGAATCATTATGCTTAAGAAAATGTTGTTCAGCCTGAGACGTATAATGTTACAGATGCAAGAAAATTAGCCAGCATCTCCAGAACATGAAAACCATCAGTCGTGTTCATGTGAATATCAGTTAATTAAGGTTTACCGTCTCCTCCACTATAACACCTCTCAGGCCACTGTGCTCACAATTTATTGGTGTCTCAGCTCCAACTCTTCCTGATATCGCAACAACCAGAGGCAGGACTTTGTTCTCGACATCGAATAGTTTTGCTGCAAGTTGGGAAAGTTAACTGATTCATGAATTCATCATGAACTATTTCATATCCATCCTTACATTTGAACTGCCAATATTCATTGGAACTAAGCAATCATTAGGTATGAATATGATCAATGGAACTACCTAGTTCAACGGCTATTTCACTGAGTAACACATGCATTTAGACAATTCCTAGGGTTCTTAATGTTCCCCAAGATACACAGTAAGCACATCCAATGACCCAAAACAATGAACTAAAAACCGCCAAAAATTCAGGGTAGGAGCGAATGTGGTAAAAGCTCTTGAGGGTAAGTGAAGCATATATACCTAATTCCTTCAGCTGATTGACTCTCGTGACGGACCTAAGTGCTTCGGCGTCCCTGCCGCTGCTTCTGCCGAGCAAATAGAGGGCAGCCGCACTCAAACAACAACTGATACCTCCCCATGGAACCGTCATCTTCCCCTCCCAACTCAGAAACCCTACTCTTTTTTCAATCACCAATCAGACTGCAGACATAACTCACAGGCAGTCACAAACTCATAATCCAGCCCTAGAAATTAGAAACCCACGATCCAGGGCGAAAGTCGGTTGGCGGGGAAACGGAGAAAAACACCTCCGAGTTGTTTTTCTCCGAGTTCAGGCAACCGAATCGACAGAAGGCTTTGGCAAAAAATTAGACATTGGCGGTGAGGGGACGATTCTGTTGTTGAGATGGGAGAGATGGAGAGAATCAGATGCTAAGCGTGAAGGAGTGAAGAGATGGGATGGGGCGGATGCATTGGAGAGCGGGGTGGGCAGCTGCAAGCAAAGCAAAGAGACGAGAGAAGGCAAATACGAAAAGGGTAGCCTTTAGTTTGGGGAAACCTGGAAAGGAATGATCAGCGCTGCTCGCCGGGCTTGTGGTGGAAGGCGATATGTGCCGCCGTCAATTAATCGTTACTCTGGATAAACTTTCTTTTTGATTCCCTGTTTTCAGTGGAATTACTGGATAACCTTTCAACCCTGTTTCGCCGGTGGCTAAATTAAGCATGATTCTCCTAGATTTGTGGACGGCAGCCCGTTATCGAGAATGCATCCATGGGTAACCTAGTTGGGTTGTATAACTTTTTCCGATTAAATTTATTGGATTGTATCTTTAGGAATAATCCCCCCTTTCTTCTTGTTATTATGCTTGTATAGTATCGTGTTTGAAGTCATTTTAAACTAGGTTTTTGCATGTTTGAGTGTGTTAAAGACTTGAGCAGATGAAACTTTTGAAAGGATCGAAAGTCGGACGAAAAGGAGTTATAATTGGGCAAAGTGGTGAAAACTGTCAAACTCCACGGTTCATGGCAAATCTTCACGGTCTCAGGGTGTGAAGAATCCATCAAAATCGTGAACATCGCAAGATCCCAGGAGGACAAGGACGTCTCACGAGCAAGTAGGCCTGTTAGTCGGTGCGGTTTCGATTTAACCGAACCGCACCATCGGTTAGCCGAGACCGCAAATATCCTATCATCGCCAACCGAAGCTGACACCGACAAGACCATCGGTGAACCGCTAACCGCAGACGGCGGTTTCGGTTTGGAGTTGCGGTTAGCCGAGACCGCAAGTCCCCTCTCCATTTTTGATCTCTCCAGCTCTCTCTCTCTCTCAATCCTATCGGCTGACATCAATCCCATCGACCACAGACGACTCCCTTCCAATCCTCTCCACTTCGACTTTTTCCAATTGACTCCTCCGCTCTTTTTCAGCCGACAATTTTTGAATCGGCCAGATTTTGCCCGAACTAGAACATGCATGGAGGTGTTGTTGTTGGATTTTTCGATCGGAGCCAAAGGAATAAGGGAAACAGTTGTTAGAGGCAGAGATGGCGGGCCTGGATCTGAACCCGCCGCGGAGGAGCTACTTCGTCAAAGGCTGCCGCTTCGACACCCTCTGCTTCTCTTCCTCCAAGCAAAGTCGTGGCTAGATCTCGCCAAGGTCGGGATTGGGGAGATAGGGTCGGCGACGCTCAGGTTGGGGCGCTAGGTTAGAAGGATGAGAATCGAGAAGAAGTTGGTGTTCTTCCATCTCTGGGTCGGCAAAAATTGAGATAAGGAGGTTGAATTGGGAATTTGGGATTTAGCTATTTAGGAATTAGGGATTTATGAGAGCAACAGTGGAGAAAGGTGGGAATTTGGAAAGGAAGGAAGAGGAGAGAGCTGCGGGAGGAGAGGGAGTGATTCGCATGGCCGGCATATTGGTCTTCCACTCTTCCTCTTCTTCGTCATTCTCATCGGCGTGCGCAGTGGAGAGGTCCGGCGGTTAGCAGCGGTGCACCGAGTTTTTCTCAGTTAGCAACCGGCAACCGTCGGTTACAGATATTCCCCGAAAATTGGCAACCGACGCCGACACCGAACCTATTATAGTCGGGTTTCGGTTATCCGATAAACCGACATTTCGGTTCGGTTGTCGGGTAAATCGAATAACCAAGACCGAATTATCACCCCTACGGGCAAGTGCATGATTCACTACCCCAGGGTGTGAAAATTTCAAGCAGCGCGTGAGGTGTGTTAATGAAACGACATGTTGTTGGTCAACATCACGGTTTCGCTGCACAGTTCACGGACGTGACGGGCGACCGTGAACTCACTGTTGGGTATAAAAAGAGAAGAGAAATCATATTTGAAGGGGTTGGCTTTTTAGAGAAAATTTTGAGATCTTCTGCCCTAGAGAGAGAAGTGACGAGTAAGGAGAGATCGGAGGAGAATTAAAGCTATCTGTCATCCAATGAAGCATGATTCCTCTCCAAGAGGAAGAAAAACTAGTGGGGTTGGATGGAATTAGGAATACCGGTGGAATTAGGGTGCGATCTACGACTTTGTTCGTCAGCAAGAGATTGAGCTGGTGAAGAAGAAAGTCGCAGGTGGAACAGTGGGAAATGAAAGCAGCTGTGGACACGACACGACGGTGATTTGTGTTATTGGGCGTCAACACTATTTGGACCCATTAGCCATGCTAATAGTTTTCCCATCCGTGTTAGTGGAACCGTCAGCAACAATATATTTCATTTTTACCCCTCCTAAAATGACTCTGGACGCAACAATTTTGAAATGAGATTCTTAGTTTTCCCCATTTCACCTTTCTATTAGGTGTAGTGTAGACATTAATATTATTATATTTCAAATGGGTTAGGGACTCCACTCTGGGCCGACAAGAGAGCGTGCTGGTAGGCCCTCTGGCACATGGCCTCCGAATATCATGGGGCCTCCACTTATATATGTTAGTTAATCTGATCGTATATTCCCTATGTTTGGCCCGACTTTTAGAAGTGCTTTTCGGTTTCAAAAGCTGAAGCAGCGCCAAAAGCTCGACTTTTGAAAAGCCGAAAAGCGCTTTTGTATAACATAAAAGCAGAAAAGCGCTTTTGTACAAGATTATTTTTACCATATTTTAATTTATTTCAGAAAATATAATTTTCTTTCATTTATATCATTTTAAAACTAAAATAAATTATAAAATCATATTATTTAATATAAAAGAAATCTAACAAGATCCATTTTGACTACTTTTTATTGTTTAGAAATTTTATTCATAGTTTATATTATAAGCCATTATGTATGTTTCGATAATCCTATTTATATTAAAAAGTTATATAAGAAAATATTTATTGCATAGCTGATAACAATTGCAAATCATCATTAAAAAAAATAATAATGATACAATCATTTTAACTTTATTATAATTACAAATCACTTTGCACCGAACAGGGTCTCTACGATCGATTTCTACTCCACCATTAGCCCTTCGCAATACCCCGTGTGGATATTTGGATGGTGAAAGAAATTCACTCCATATATCACCTTCTACTCGTTAAATTATTTTCTAGTTTTGACTCATCACAGTTCACAACCCATACAAAAAAATCCCTAGTAAATAACGGCGGCAGGCAACCACAATGCACACTCAGAATAACTTGGATTTGTCAGCGGCGGCAACAAATGAAACGGTTGGAGGCGGGTCGCTGAAATTCCCAGACAACACCTGCTGGGACACAAACCGATTGGCCGCTTCGGTATAGTGGATTCCATCCCAATTCACATACTCGCTCGTATCGTCGCATGGATTTGCGGTCACCGTGCTCCCATCGACAGTCTTCGTCACTCCGCAATCGACCCTGCTGTCGAAGTTCAGCGGCGGCCCGCCGTAGCCGCAGCAGGCCGCCAGCGGCTCCTTGAAGCCGTACCGGGAGTGGTTGGCGATGAGGTCGAGTTTGACGGCGTAGACGTCGACGTAGGTGAGGTTGGCGCCGGCGGGGAGTAATTGGGCGGCGGTGGTGGTGGTGCAGAGCTGGTGGAGCTGGGTGTTGAAAGCAACGGCGGCTCTGTTCCGCGAGGCCAGGCAGCCCAACGGATCGACGTCCGATTCGTTTTTGTTGCTCGCTATGACTCGGGCCAGGCAGCCCAATGGGCCCGTGTTGTGGATCCAGAAGTTCCTCGCGCCCGCGTTGTATAATCTCTGGGTGGGGATCCAATTTAGAAATGGATGATAAAACCATTTATTGTAAACATTATAACTTTACGCAAATGGGGTTATATTATATACCTGGATTCCGTTCTGAAATTCGGAAAGAATTGTAGGAATGGAAGCTATGACTTGGTCCTCTGTTTTAGAGAAGAATGCAACGTAGAGATCGTTTTGGCCGACGTCGAACGTATAAAGCCCTTCCTGGAAATACGCCTCTTTTGGGAGATACTTCTGAAGATTCTTGTTACCTGGAATTTAACCAATTCTTAATAAATTTTTCTATGTTACATGCATATTTGACGTAAATAGAGAGCTGTAATTAATTGACGAAACCTGTTGCTAGCAAATCCAGGACTCGAGCCTTGAACCTGGAGAATTGAGCCACCTGGATCCCAAACGAGAACGGATTTCTGGAAGCGGCATTTGCTGGGAGAATAGTGGCCCCTCCCGTGGCGAAGTTGGACCCCGTTTTGAAGCTTGGGCCGCCGACCGAGTCCAGGTACGGGCTCAGAAACGGCAAATCCATGGCGTCCACTGCAAAACCATTGCTTTTGATTGTTAGCTCAGCTGGTAGTGGTAGTACATCAACAAGAGATTCCTGCGTTCTAATTAGGGATGTCAATCCAACCCGTAACCATGGGTACCCTATTCGATTGTAACCGGTCAACGAGGGTAATTACCCGCTTTGACGGGTTAAGGGGCGGGTACGGGTAATACCCGATTTCAAAATACAGGGTAGGGTACGGGTATGATAATCGATAATACCCGCCCGTTATACCCGCCCCGCTAACCAAAAGGTCAATTTTCCTTGAGAAATTGAGTTTAGCTACCATTATTGATGATGAAGATGTAGACGATTATTATGTTTGTGTGGATTGTAGAAGCAAGAACAATTATTATGTGTTTGCTGTTTTTATTTGTGTGGGTTGTTGAAGGTAGAACAATTACAAGTATTGAGAATTTTTAATGGACAAGAGTATGTATATGCATATATGTGTATAAGTTCATAGGTTAGGATTCGTACTCATGGTTACCCGAATACCCATGGTTACCCGATGGATAGGATATGGTTATATAATTTTCATACCCGGTGGTTATTTGGTCGGGTATTTTAGAAAGCTCTACCCGGCGGGTTAGGAGTTGGTAGGCTCAAGATAGGGTGCATAACCATGGGTTATGCACCCATCAATAACCAAATCTAGACCCTTCATTTAGAAAATCCAGATCTAAGGATGGAGAATTAAAGACCATTTTTATTTTCCCTAGCTTTTTTAATCGGCTCATATCTTTTTCGTTTTAACTCGGGTTTTTTTTTTTTTGCACAGATGGAACGAGTTCATCGTGCTCTACAAAATGAGATCAACTTTCAATATTTTTTGAGAAAAAAAATTCTGGCCTCTCGGTACCAACTGCATACCATATGGTATTTTCTTCGTTTTTAATTAGTTTTTGAAAACGTTTGCACATAAGGGACGAGTTAATCATGATCTATTGGATCTACAAATTTCTGGTTGAACAAATTACATGACCAAAAAATACCATACAATACCACCCTGGTACGGGGGGTATCTTGTGGTACACAATGATAAAAGTCGTAAATGACAGTTAATATACTTCTACTATCATGTATTCAACCATCCTACAGTCTTGTTTTGTTCATACCACCGTGGTATGCTTTTCAAACTATAGGTATGCTCTTATTTCAATACCAGTCAGTACCATATGGTATAGACTGGTAAAAAATGGCTCAATTTTTTTTGTTCAAAAAATATATCAAAGTGGATATCATTTTGAAAAGCACAATTAATCAAATCTAACTATGCAAAAAAAAAATAAATTTCGACTTAAAACGAGTGAGAAATCGTCCGTCAAAGATTAAAAAGGGGAAAATTAAAGGCTGTCCAGAAGAGAGATGCTAATGTGGACTGGTTACTCATGGTTACTCACCATAAGATTACTCACTTGATCAGTTCCCGAGTGGGTATAGGGTAAACCCGCACATGACCCTACCCATTGCCATCCCAAGTTCTAATCCTTAAAAATCTGCACCGCCATAAATTGATTTAACTATTAATTTTGTTTGGAGTCCTTATATTATGTTGTTTTAGCAAACAAGTCTTCCATTTATAATTTCATCTATATGCGATGTTGTTTGTTTGTTTGTTCATTTTTAATCCCTTTGCTAGAAGTGCATGTACATTTTTAACAAATATGCATTTTGCGTGAATTCGTTAAATTTGAGGTCGGTCGGCACTTGTTTAGTAAACATGTCGTGTTTAGCTACCATGCACATACGTTAGAAATTGATATTTTGTTCTTGAAATTAACACATTACAATGCAGTCAAAAGCGTGATTCTACCTAGAAGCGGAAAATTGATAAAATCGTAAAGTGTAGAATCAAAGTGTAAAAACATAAGTTTTTGAAGCACACGGTAAAATAACTAAAAATCTGTTAAGTACAACATATACTATGTAAAATATGAGTGCATGTAATTTAGATAAGTTAATAAATACCTACAATTCATGTCTAAAGTAGAGCAACTCATAGCATCATAACGACAAATTCATAAACATAGATCTTAACAATAAGCCACATTCCTCTCTATGCTAATGAATTTGGGAAAGGCCTAACTGGTGAATTACAACACTCTATTGAAGTCGAGAACGCATCCAAGTACCTGTTATGTATTTTTTTAATCTCAAATGTATCATATTGTTGGTGATATACCTTTAAAATATACTTTTTATAATTAATTTCATGAAAAGAATACCCATTTGGTGAACTAAAAGCGTAAAGCGTTTTGGTGAACTAGAAGCATAAAAGCGTAAGCTTTTAAGCTTTAAAACCCAATTTAGTCCGATTTTATACACTACAAATTTTTTGTGGAAAGAGAAAACGTAAAACCGTAAGTTTTTAAATTTTAAAGCGTGATTTTGACTGCATTTAACACATGCAACTTTTTTTAACAACTTATTTTACCTGACACCTTTGTTATTTGGGCCCTGATAATGCTACATATTTTTTATGCATAGCTTAACGACGATGCCAATTGTTGATGCATTTATAAATAAATAAAAATATGTGCGTGCACTCTACACGTGACTTGTTCAAAATGCATATTAAGAGTTAATTAACCCCACTAATTAATAAATTATAATACATTTCTAAGACATATTTGTTAAAAAAAAACACGGTACCAACTCAGACTTGTTTGTCAAAATTAACAATGTAGTATATGGACTAACAAATGCTATTAACCTTAATTTCAAGGAAACACATTTTTTTTTCTTTATGAGTTTAGAAACTAACAAAAAAAAAATATTTGAACACTAATCTCAATGAGGAAGAGATAATTAAGGACGCGATACCACTTACTAAGGAAATCAACGATGAGTCGGCCGTCGCTGAAACGGCCAGATGGCTCGTGGAAGTACGTTTCCCCGTTGGGTGGGCCGACCGGGAAAGCAACGCCGGCAACCAATCCACCGGTGTCGGAATTCGAGTCGCCGAAGTTGAACACCGCCGGGTAACCTGTCAACGGTCTCCCCGGCGCAGGCCGAAACGAAGACAAGAGCAGAAGTAATAACAAGAGAAGGGCAGAAGTGAAAGATCCCTCATAAGCTGCCATTTGAACAACAATGGAAAAATGGGTTATAACCGGAGATCGATCGAGTTCGATCCGGCGAGCAAAACACAAGTTAGTAGTAGTGTACAGAACTCGTACGTGGGTGGCCAATCTATATATGATGACGGGAAAGATCGATGGTAACTCTGAGCTGAAGAGGTAGCTTTGAAGCAAAGATAAAAAAAAAGTCTGTGAAAGCGAGACAACAGTTTGTTTATGGTTTAAGAAATGGGGAGGAAAGAAAAAAAAATAAGGGTAAATACAATTTAATATCCAAACCTTTCATTTTAAACAATATAATAACCAAATCTTTTCGAAAACAATCTAATATCCAAATCGTCAACTTTCCGTCCGTTTGACCGTTGATTGACACTTCAAAAAAGCTTTGTTTAGGGGAAATTGTCACAATACAACTTTGTTTTCTTGTTTGGCATTGCAGATGACTGAATATTTAGATTTCTATACCATCGTGGTGGAGTCATGGACTTCTCGGGTTTGGAACCACGATATGCTGGTGGTTTTTCAGAGAAGATATCGATGGATATTGATGAAGCGTCGTACTTCGAACTTTTTTGAAGTGTCAACTAACGGTTAAACGAAAAGCTGACGATTTGGATATTAGATTGTTTTCGAAAAGGTTTGGCTATTATATTGTTTAAAATTAAAGGTTTGGATATTAAATTGTATTTAAAAAAAATAATAATAATATGAGTAGTGAGACGAGGGAGAGGGGAATCGGTTGCTGAACAAGTTTTTGTTATGTGTCGTGCATGGTGTCTTCTTCTTCTTCTTCTCTCACGGGACATATCAGCAAAGGGTTTTTCAACCAAATTATTTTATTCACATTTCTTTATTTATTTTTCCTGATTCAATACTTTCTTTGGCCTAATGGGAAGCAAATGCACGTGCCTGCAGCCTGCTATGTGTATGGTTTTTTTTATATTATATTGGACAAGTAAAAAAAAAAGGAACTTGCATCTCACTTAATATGTATTCATTCAGCACTTATTACATTCTCTTAAATGGAAAATATATGGGAATTTATGGATTCAAATTGTATTTTATTTGTAAATATTGGCCTAATTGAATTGCAATCGTGGGCTCATAAAGTGAATTTATGAATTCAAAATGTATTTAATTTCTAAATATTTTCAAAATTTTAAAAATTTAGGTGCTGAAGTGTCGTGTTAAATATGTTTTTACCTAATGTGATTTTTAAGAATTTTTTTTTGGGTGAAACAATCAATCTTTAGGTACCAAAATAGAAAATACAATGCACAAATGAACGCCACTGGTTTGCTTGAACATTAGATGTTTAGGTACTATAAAAGATTTTGTAACAAAATCAACGTTTAATGCACAACCAAACCCGTCAATATTTTTTTTTTACCTGAACAATCCCTTATACTTCAAATGTTTTTTTCCTAATCAAACCATTTTCATCGATTCGCTTTTATGTCCCGTTAAAATGGAAGTTAAATGATAGGAATTTCCTCTCCCTAACTTAATTTCTTCCCTAAAGAATCCCCTCAGACTATAATTTTTCCCTAAACATATCCTCAAATTTAATTTCTTCTTAACAAAGTCCCTCCCATTAGCCTTTTACCTTTGACGTGGATGATGAAGCTATCCATTCCTTTCACTTAAACAAATGAACACATTAACCCGTTTGCAAGCTTCACGTTGGCAAGAAATATCTAGGGTTTCAATATGGGAAGTTACAAAGATAAAACATTTCTAAATCAGCATGATTCCTCACAATAAACAAAATCTACGAGAGGTAAAAATCCAAACATATATGACTCATCGTTAGTATACGTAGTTGGTGACTGATTCCATTTACCGTGCAATAACAACAAACTAACATGAGGGGACTTTCTTTGAAAAAAATTGAAGTGGAGGGACGTGTTTAGAAAAAATTTGAAATTGAGGGTCAATTGAAAAACGGTATCAATTGTCTCATTTTAAAAAGCAAATAATTTTAAACGAGTCAATTTGAAAATTTCCAAACAAAATTGCGTCATCTAAATTTTATGATGTCAAACGGATTAGTTTGGCCAGATTGTATCAAAACAAACATAGACACACCCAATTCAAACAGAATAGTTTGGCCGGATTAGAATTGCTTCATCTAAATTATATGGCCCATCCAAACGACATGACATTTCACACAGACACACCCAATTCATTAACCTCATATCATTAGCATATAATTTTGTTTGGTGGCTACTTCTAGTGATTGTAAGAAAATGTTATTAGTTTCATGTATTTACGTTAAGAGTCACCTATGTGTTAATTGTTATACTTTATTCCTTATATGAATTGCGATTAAGACATTATAAGGACATTTTCTCACCTAATGATAATGTTACATTGGTTAACCTGGTTAACCAATTAACCAAACCGATTAAACTTAAGTTTGGTTAATTTTGTTGTTGTATTAGTTCTGTAGGATTGTTTTTGATATTTTGTTCCATGGTTAATAGAATTGAGGCTTATTTAGTTTGACAATTACCATGGTAACCATTTGAACACCCCCTACCTCGTAGTCTCCTTCCATAAGTCAGTATTCAAACCATACCGAAGCTTGTACTAAAAAAGTCAGTGGTAGTGTATTTTATGTTGAAACGGTGATTTAATCGTGTTGCAACCATTTCATACCGCTAAATACCACCTACCGCTTTAGCCTCTGATTGAAAATTTATCTGATCGAACCTTCGTTGTAGTACAACATTTTTAATCCTTCGTTTTTATAGGGTGCAGTGGCTTGATTTAAGTGGTGGGGAGGTGTGCAGTTTGTTATGAGGGGTGAAGGTCAGTAGCTAGATATAATTACTTGTAACTGAAGTCAATAGCTCACAACAATAATGATGCAGCATGTAGGAGTGAATGTCGAAAGAAAATTGACATATGAACCTGGGAAGGCAATGAGGCGGGTTTGCTTAAACCAATCTCATCCCCATTTTTAATACCAATTCATATTCGCCGCATATCCATGTGGTGAAAGGTTTTCCAAACCCATCTCCAAACCTGCGGTTTTTGAATACCCATGGCTAATACCCGGCCCATCAATTACTCACCATTAATAAAAGAATATGGTGACAATATGGATATACTACCCGCTCAAAATTATGGAACTTGTCAAACATCGGTTTGCTCAATTAGTACGATATTGTCCGCTTTGGGCCAAGCCCGCACGTTTTACTCTTGGGTTTCCTCCCCAAAAGGCCTCGTACTAATTGGGCTAGGTGGACACTTATATACAAGGGTTCCTTCCCTTGTATTTCCGATGTGGTACTTGGATTATCCCATAACAATCCTCCCCTCAATACAAGGACCACGAACTTTGTGTCCTCTCCTCAGCGATTATCTTGATCCGTCAGATGCCTTGTATCGATGGGCTTCTTGGTACAAGGACTTTACCAGACGCGGAATTCTCTTTGATCCGCCAAACAAACGTGTAGCCCAAACGTGGATCCACCAAACCAGATGCAGATCTCAAATTCCGAGATCACCGAATGAGGCTCCACCAAACTGACGTCCACTGCCTCGGATCTGCCAAACTAGGCTCTGATACCACTTGTCAAAATCGGGTAGCTCAATTAGTATGATATTGTCCTCATTTAGGTCAAGCTACTACGGATTTACTCTTGGGTTTCTTCTCCCAAAAGGTCTCGTACTAATTGGGCTAGATGGACACTTATATACAAGGCTCATTTCCCTTGTATTACCGATGTGGTACTTGGATTGTCCCATAACAGAACTAATGCATAAGAGGATTAAATTACGATTTGGTTTACCTAAGAGGATTAAATTATATTTTAACACTTTGTTTTTTCTTTTTATTACCCTTCATTCCATTGACAAGTTACAATAGACTCCTTATATTTTATGCATATAACGTAATATCCTTGGTGGAGCGGGTTTGGGTATGTGTATATGTGGCGGGGGAGTCCAAAATCATACCTGCCCCATAGCCATCAACCTTTTTGCGAGTTTTACCCATGTTCGCCCCATACCCAATCAAAACGAGAATTCCCCGCGTTGACTGGGTCAGAGGCGGTCGGATACCCGCGACCATGGATTTGGTTGCAATCCCTATGCATAAGTTGTGATGGAGTTAAGTAGTTTTATTGTCCATCCATCCCCATAAAATATTATAAAGGGTTTCTCGGGGAATGCCTCCCCGCAACTTTTGGACTTTTCAACCTTTTTTTTTTACTTTCGTTTTTCCACCTCGGCTCCCCTCAGCAGTCAGCGCTAGCGGTTTTCGTCTTCATCAACCTCCCTGGAAATCTATGCGTCCACGTCAGCCGTCAAAATCAATCTTCAGTTTCTTTCCATCCTCTCGGGGGAAAAAAACCCTCCTCTTCTTGCACAAAAAAAACTCCTCCTCCTTCCCGAATACTGACTCTGCCTCTGTCATAAACCAGTTGGTCCCAATAACTCGAGTTGTTGGGAGAAGGTTATGCTGGATCTTATACCAGTCCACACTCTAACACGCCCCCTCAAACGAAAGCCAACTCACGGGCTTTAAGTTTGCAAGACCCACCATACCTTGTGCTTTAATTAACTGTTAATATTGGGGGTCGTGGAGATTCCAACACGTGACCACTTGGCCAAACCATCTCTGATACCATGTCATAAACCAGTTGGTCCTAATAACTCGAGTTATTGGGAGAGGTTCAATTATGGATCTTATACCACATACTAACAGCCTCTTTCCTTAGAAGCGATGGAGAAAGGCATCCATCCTACTTCTTCGTTTCATAATCATATTATTCAACTCTCCTTCCTTCTTGCCATTGAAGCCGATGGCATTCTTTTTCCCAAATCCGCATCAACTCCCGACTATATTGGGCAAACATAAAGTCTGCAATTAGGGACCTCAATTAGCGCATGTCTTTCGCCACCTCATCACATAGCCTCCGACAACTCCTGTTGGAAGCACCAGATTGTGTGTTGTTCTTTAAATCTCCGCCCAAAAAAATCCGGGCACACCTACCTATTGCTCTGATTGCACTTGCATTGCATGCCATCGTGGTTATTTGGAATTGCATGGGATAATTCGGATGAGTAATGAACTCTAGATTCATAACAATATAGCCATGGTAGCCAAATGTAATATAGCCTAGCGGTGAAACCGTTGGTCTGGTTGGCTCAGGATGCGAGAGGTCCTGAGTTCGATCCCCACGGTGTCGTTTGTGTGTTCCAAGAGGCATGTCTGAGTGCCGGGGACGAAGTCTCCCAATGTTGTGTCTTGTACAGGTGCTCCCCAGGTTTAATAGATCACGCTGTCACAAAGTGGCATGTGGGGTTGAGGTTCTTGAGTTATAAAAAAAACAATATAGCTAGGGTAATTATCCAACTATTTTATTTTTCCTCATTTCAAAATCTAATTAATGATGCTCCAATATAGTGAAGATACCGCATGATTAAGTAAATGAGTTTTCTATGACATAGCTACTTTTTAACTTTAAGAGATTCCCTTAATGACTCTAAGATCAAATAGGTACATTTTTATGGTACCAATTTGATATTGTTATCAATTTCTTCACCTTTCAACATCTAAAGCCAAGTCATTAACAAATTTTTTTATCCCTCTTTAAGATGAATTAGATTACATACGACCAATTTTAAATTGAAGAAAAAAACTAACAAACAACAAAAACATAATAATAATAATATATTCTCCCGGCCAAGTGCCGGGCCCAGAGCTAGTTGTTTTCTTATGAGAATCATTTGCATAATAATTCATTTGGGTTTGAGTTGAAGAGTTAAGTCATTTTGCCTACATACAAATGGGTGAAGGAACGACAATGGATCAGTTTGAGTCGGTTTCTCAAAACCCAAATCTAATTCAGTAGGTACATCCGTAAAAAAAAAAAATTTGATAAATTATTCATTGGGATATGAAAGAAAAAATTCAACATAACCCAATGATGTATCCATAAGTTCTTGTAGGGCTGGAAGTTTGGTACCGGTATTTGGGATATACCGAATACCGTATCGAATTTGTTTATATTTGGTATTACTGAATACACGTGTTATTTCTTGAGATTGGAGTTGGGATTGAATTTCAATTGTTATTCGGTATTAGGGATTACGGGATTGGGATCGGTATATACCGAAATACCGATCAATACCGAAAAATAAGCTAGTGTGTATTTTATCCTCTCAACTAGACTCTCTTATTCACTACTACACAACCCTCAACCACCAAGAGTGTTATTTAATTATACATATATCATTCAATCACTATTAATAGTCGTCTCTCAACCTCCAATTCGTCAAATTAACGATTACCAATGACAAGAACTTGAGATGTCTCCTTTCCTCTATTCTCCTTAATAATATCATAATTCAAGACTCTTTGCTTAGTCTTTTCCTCCTAAATTAAACAATAAAATATAATTTATTTAATTATTAATTGCAAAGATAATTAATTTTGTATTCGATAATACCGATTGGGATACCGGAGTACCGATTGGGATACCGAAATATTTAGGGATTGGGATTGAGATACGGAAATTATTTAGGGATTGAGATTGAGATTGACTTTAGGGTGTAATTCGGTATTCGGGATTTCGGTATTTGGTATTGGGATACCGATACCGTACCGATTTCCGTGCATGGGTGGTTCACAAATATAACCGTGAATTATTCACACGAGGCCAGAGGCCCATGATGTCCAAAGTCCATAGGCCCGACTCCTGGACAAGCGGGGGCCCGAATGACCGGGACGCCGCCCGTCGGGTAACGTGAAGCTCCAGAAACTGGAAAACAAAACCCACAGGCGGCAGAAATCTAAACCCCTTGGAAAAACCCCTAAACCCACAAATTGCATCTCTCTCCAGTCACACTCTCTTCTGTTCTGTTCTCCATCGCTTTGCCTCCGCCACTCTTCTGTAGTTTGCGGTTGTAGTTCTCCGACAATGGCTTCCGTAGCCCTCAGAAACCCTAATTCGAGGCGGTTGTTCCCGGTGTCTTCCCAAATCTACTTGGGCTGCCGCGGATCAGCCATTGTTCACTCTTCTATCATCGATTCTATCTGTGGGAATGACACGACCTCGTCTTCCGCTGCTCCATGGTGGAGATCCATGGCCACTTTCACCAGAACGTAAGTTGGATCTCTTTCCGCTCTCTAATTTGACTAAACTTTGTTTTTTCCCCCGCTTGCTCTATCCCTTGAATATATTGGCTTGTGTTTTTGGTAACAGTAAACCTCACGTTAATGTGGGCACAATTGGACATGTTGATCATGGGAAGACTACCCTAACTGCGGCAATTACCAAGGTTTTGTCTCCGTGGGGTTCCTTGTTTGCTTATTAGAAATAGAACTTCGTACCCTCACTAGATCAGTGAAACTGAAAGCAACTTAACCTACCAATGCCTCTTTGTATAGGTACTAGCTGAAGAAGGCAAGGCTAAAGCTGTTGCCTTTGACGAAATTGATAAGGCCCCAGAAGAGAAAAAAAGAGGAATTACTATTGCCACGGTATAACTATTCACTTTATGGTTATTTCTTCTGCTGCCCCAAGTCTAACCTTCAGAATGTGGATGATCAATCCATCTAGCCCCTATTTTCCGCTGTTTCCTATCTCCCTCATTCTTTCATAATGCAGAAAAAAGGATATATCTTGACAAGCTGTACTTACTTCTGTTTGGGATGATAATTCAGGCCCATGTGGAGTATGAAACTGCAAAGCGTCACTATGCTCATGTTGACTGCCCTGGACACGCTGATTATGTTAAAGTAAGCCTGTAGTTCGTTGTACTATACTGGGTTTATTGTATGGAGAGTATATAAATTTGCTTCAAATCAAAGAAAGTGTTGGATCACTGAACTACGTGAGTGAGATCAACAGTTTTCTGGCAATGTATTGCCACAATTACTATCCTGGAAAACCCGGGCAAGCAGAACTTGCATTTCTTTTGAATCTGCATCCCCCCTTTTCAGCAGCTCCCTCTCCTTATGTATGAGAAGTTTAGATTGCTAGAAATGAGGTTGTTGTTTCCTTTTGAGATGGATTAATCAACCTGCCTTCTACTGGCTGCAAGTTTTCGGAAGGCTGATCAGTGGTTTGTGATTGGTTTACAATTAATCCGCAGAACATGATTACGGGAGCTGCCCAAATGGATGGTGGGATTTTGGTTGTTTCTGCTCCTGATGGGCCCATGCCTCAGACAAAGGAACATATTTTGCTTGCTCGCCAGGTGCATGTTCTACTCTTTTATCTTTCTCGTTTGGTTTTGGCCAGGTGCATATTCTTCTATTAGGCTGTGAATTATTTATTGCTTCCTCTCTGAATTTGTTCACATTGATGTCTGAATGTCCCTTTTTTATGCATATGAAAGGTTGGTGTGCCTTCACTGGTTTGTTTCCTGAATAAATGTGATGCTGTGGATGACGAAGAACTGTTGGAGCTTGTCGAAATGGAGCTCCGTGGTACGTTGCTTATATTCAAGATTGTTCTGTTTCTTCATTTGTCTTGTCTTCTTTCAATTTATCATTTTCTAGAAGTCCATCCATTTGTTTCTTTTTTCTCCAGAGCTTCTGAGTTTCTACAAGTTTCCTGGGGATGAAATCCCTATCGTCAGGGGTTCAGCATTGTCTGCTTTGCAAGGGACTAACGAAGAACTTGGGAAAAAAGCCATTTTAAAATTGATGGATGCTGTGGATGAGTACATTCCTGACCCAGTTCGCCAACTTGACAAGCCATTCCTCATGCCAATTGAAGATGTTTTCTCCATTCAGGTATAGATTGCATCACACACACTGTGGCTGCAAGCTTTTTTTCTTTCTTGGGACCCTATTCTGCTTGTTACAACTGTGATATTTTTCTAGATAATGGGGAAAACTGTGATATTTTTTAACAGCTAAAACCTAGGTGTTTCTGTAAACTGTTTGTTCTGTTTGGTGCAATTGTTTGTATTTTTAGATATGTTCTCTATGAATCGAGTTTCCGTTAATTGCTACGTATATAAATCACTATACCCAATATGGAACCACTGATTTGCAAGTTCTTTAAATTTCTATTAAAAGGGGCGGGGAACTGTTGCAACTGGCCGTGTGGAACAAGGAACAATCAAAGTTGGCGAAGAAGTTGAGATTTTGGGGCTAACAGCGGTAACTCATGGTTAACCTTGAATCAAGAATTTCATACAGCTACTGAATGACAATGTTCCTCCATTATTGGCTAGTTCTAGTTACTTGTTTTTTATTTTCTTCTGCAGGGTGGTGCCCAGAAATCTACTGTTACTGGTGTCGAGATGTTTAAGAAAATTTTGGACCGAGGAGAAGTAAGTCAACTCTTGAATTCTCCTTTACCCTGCTAGGCTTCGGGTGCTGCTGCGGTGCTGTGATTAAAAATTCTTATTTCTTTCTGTGTTACTTAGGCTGGTGACAATGTGGGTCTTCTCCTGCGTGGTTTAAAACGTGAAGATATACAACGAGGACAGGTTGGTGTCAATCTGGGAAGATGCTTTCTTTTTCTGAATTCCCCAACTATTCTATCACCATATATATAGTCAAATATTGAGAAGCATAACCATAGATTCAGTCACTAACGAATCATGCCTGTTATACTTCATTAAAAAATATAAAGATACATGCTTGCTACTATTTGAAGTATGTGCTGAATCAACTGTCTTGTACTTGCTTTGTGTTAAGGTGATTGCCAAGCCTGGATCTCTGAAAACGTACAAGAAATTCGAGGCAGAGATATATGTCCTGACCAAGGATGAGGGGGGTCGCCATACTGCCTTCTTCTCCAACTACAGGCCCCAGTTTTACATGAGAACTGCTGATATAACTGGTAAGGTGGAATTGCCTGAATCAGTGAAGATGGTCATGCCGGGTGACAACGTCACTGCAAACTTCGAGCTGATTCAACCTGTTCCTATGGAAGCAGGTCTGGTTTTCTTCTCGTGGTTATTGATTCAACTTGTTTGCCAGGTCGGATTCAAGATCCTGATAATGTCTCGTGTTTTAACAGGGCAAAGATTTGCTTTGAGGGAGGGAGGCAGGACAGTTGGAGCAGGTGTTGTCTCGAAAGTAATTAGCTAGGGTTGGTTGGTCCATATATTCATATATGGACTTTTGTATCATGTTTTCCCCATACGCTTAATTTAAATCACAGACACGGGAGGTTAGAAGGACTAATGATGGTTGGAGCAGGAATGTGCCTATCTCTAAGTCCATTTGGATATGGAGGCTGCTTAGAGTTTCCTGTTTTATTCAGGGTTGAATCTAGAAATGATTTTGGGGTCTGATACACTTCAGTGGAAAGGAATAGTTTTCATTTTAGGGTATCCCGATTCTCATTCTCATTGATTTTGAGTTGTGCAAATAATAATACACATTTGAGTTAGTACTATCCTGCTCTACCTCTGTGTTTAACCTATCCTTCTGTTCCTAGTTTTATCTTTCAGGTTATCTTACTTTCCAGTTACAGCCATTTTTATTCCTCTGATTGTTTTGGGTTATTTACAGATTCACTCCATAAAGTGATCCCCCAATTTAAGGTGGCATTGTCCCCTCGGCTTTTTAGGCCATTTTCTTCTCTTGAATTGAAGTTCCAAGTGTGTGCGTGTGTTCTTTAGCACAAACAATGTCATTCAACGTCGTTTTCAACTCTTTGTTCTTCACTTTATTTGTCTACTTTGCAACGCCAGCGAATTGGCATGTACTGAACAGACCGCCGACATTGACCTGGCCCCAAGTTGTCGACCCACCCACGCCGTTATTCATGAAAAGAATTGTCCAAAGTGGCCACAAAATTCATGGCTTCTACGAGGCTGCAGAGAACCGATGACTGTGAAACAGTGCCAGAAATTATATCGTATCTGATAAATTGTGATTCAATCATTTTGTACTGTTAAAATTGTCTAATGTTTTGGGCCCTGTATCTGATATTTTTAGTCTCACCAAACACTACGATTTCTAAAACATTGCAGAAAACCATATTACCATCGACATCGCAAACAAATACCAACGACGATCGAAATAGCTCGCACTTACCCTCTCCTTTTGCCTTGCCTTTCATAGACACCACCCACTGAGATGCCATTGGCCACCTTCAAGTTGAAGACCAACTTTGCTCAACCGCATATGTAGTTTCTTAGTAAAGACGAGAACATTAGCTAGATGCAGAGACCACAAAACTACGGTATTTTATTTGCATGTGTACAAATTGTCTGTCACGGGATAATTAATTAAACACAAAACCTACGAGGCATAAGCTAGAATCATCACAGTTCAAAACATAGAAAAGAAAACCTAGCATCAACAGAAAGCAACTATACCAAAACTGCTAACCGCAGACCGGCCCCGACACTACGTTTTGCACACAACCCACGAGTGCTACGGTAAATCCATTCATGCGACCCTCAGCACAGCAACAGCAAGCAACGTCGCAGCTCGGAAGTAAACATCCTTCAAGCTCCTGTCCACACTCCTCATCACTTCTTCATCCTTGAGGCCCTTGCCAGCATTCCTGCTGACATGGATTATTGTGTCCCGCAGCTTATTCACCGCCCAAGAGAGCCACACCAGTCCGAAAGCCAACCCTGTGCTGAGCAGCTTTGATGAGGTTAAGGGTACCCTACCACAAGCTACCTTGCACACCACGGAGAAAAGAACAGCAAGGCCAGTGCCAGCAATGCTAGCAGAGAACTGGGTCAGCAGCTCGGGAAGCTCAGGACCAGATTTCTTGAGCCACAAGATTGCTACTTTCCCGTCGTGTTTCTTGTTCATCATCAAAGACAGAAGGCTCTCGCATGCATGGAAGTAGTTCCTCTTGTAAAGATCCTGCTCTCTGCTCACCCCTCTCCTGCCACTTCTCCTCTTACCCAATGGCTTCGCCTTAACTTTCTCTGGACTGTTAGAACCAGGATGTAGATAGTAGTATCAGAAAAAGAGAAAACAAAAGATTAAGCTGTCTACATAATGTTCCTTATATATAAATCCGCTAGCAGAAGTTAAAACTCACATACCTATTCAATGGTGCAACAGCCACAGCTTGGACGTTTAATGAAGAAAATTCTGCTTCATATGTATCAAACCTGTTACATTAAATAACCAAAGTAAATTTCCCATTTGTTAATGAGCACCAAATAATAAAAAACAACATACAACAATTTTCAGAATGATATCAATATCCATAATACATCTCAGTTTCATTGCTTCGTTTGTAAATTATCTCCCCCTTGAAAATTGCAATGCAGAGCTCCTTTACTCTTATTTCATATAAGCCTATTGCTCATAAAAATAGGTAAACTTTCTCCTGTTGAATATTTAGTAAGTTAAAAAACTAAAACGTAGTTCTACTCTGAGCAGCTATTGGCTTAATCTGAAAATGGTGCTACAAGCTTTTCCTATTGAGGGGTAGCTCCATGAGATGCTAACATCAAACTCACAGTCAACCAATCCAACTCACTAGATCAAGGATAACAACACATCAAACTCCTAACAGGACAAAGATGAATAAAGAATGAATCATCAGTATCCTCATGCTTCAACACTATGATCATAACAAAGAAACAAGACCTCATGTGCTAACTAAAATTTAACATGTTGTACCTATTAAATTGGGGGATGAGCACCGAATGTCTTTCCCAGGTGGTGGAATCATTGTTTAGGTAAAACTCAGCAACAATGGGGAGTATGTCCTTGATCTCCGTCCCCGTGCCACTCAACAGCAGCCGACCATCGGGATGAATTGTAATCTTTGACCCACGAGCCATATCACTCATAAAGTCCACTAAAGGATTCACAAAATCAAATTCACCCTTCATGCTCATAGGTGGGTTATATGCATCTAGATCCATGGTCAAGTGCAGTGTTCGAAGCCCCATCAACTCAGAAACCTCGTACAAATCTAATTCCCCTGTTTCCAATTCATTCCACCGAGATTTGAGGAACTGCATTATTCTATCGTGTCTAGCGCATTGCTCAGCAATCCCAACACCGGGGAGAACTTTATCTGTCCATGCATCTACATGCAAAATTAGAAAAAATTAAAACTAGCACAACTTTTTACCGAAACAATCTAGCAAAACCACTGGAAGAAGGCTTGGTATTTGGCAGGGCAAATTAGCATGCTGCAAGATGTCAAGACTACTACTAACATCAAAGCCATCACCAATCACACCAAATGAGTAATCATTCGGTGAACCACAAACCTTTCACGTCTATAAGGACAGGCTCTCCAATACTTGTATTAAAGTGGCTGGCCAGTTCAATTCCAGTGATACGTTTTCTTGTTTCATCATGCTGATGAGGCTTCAGATGAAAAGAGTCTGGTCTCATCATCTCTTGTCCTGGCAGCATGTTAGGTAGATAGGGTTGATAATCCTGTGCAAAGCAAGTGCTGATTTTGAGTTACTAACCAAAGAGCAAAGACAATACAAAAGCATAAGTTAAACATGTTGGGAATGATATACCGAAGTAGCTACCAGTGGTAGGCATAAAGCAACCACATATCTGCTATGACTATCTCTCCTAAACCCCCAAATAGCCTTATTCTTCCACACACAAACAAGATGTTGAACCAAAATATCAAATTATTAGGCAATACAAGTCAGAACATTTTAGAGACAGACCTAATATCCATGGATTGTTGACATGCCATCTTACATGCATCAATTCCTGCAACTTCTTGCTTGCAGGCAGCTCTTAAATGCTTAACGAGTTGGGGGATTGTGGGGAGGTAACAATTAGTGAAAAGCTCATATGCTAGTCAGCCAAAGGATTGTTAAACACATAACAAAAAGAACACAATTGCACAACCAAATTCTTAATTGAACTCAGCAAAGTCCAGACACCAAGCAGTACATTAAAAAGCACAACTCAAGGGATTGATTACCTTGACAACCCTGTTGTGGTCTTGGTGAAAGAAGAGCCCAGAACCAGGAGGGTAGCCATGAGAAGCCGTCAAACAAAGCTTAGCCATCATTAAGGAAGAAGGAAAGAAAGAAATCCTCTAGTTCAGAGACTCCAGCAGACCTGAGGAGCACCAAAAGTTTCTTCCTTTCTCTATCTCCCAGTTTCCCTTCACAAACCCATAGGCTTATCCACCTCCAGAACCAGACGGTCTGAAACGCACCACGAACAATGGGGAATCAAAATTGAGTAATCGCCTCTATTTTTCCCAGTGGCACCCACCGAGAACAGAGACGTTCAAGGAGGGATGGTTGTGTTATATTGGATTTTGGTATTTGTGTGATGATAGAAATTGGATTTGGAAATGGAGAGAATCTGGAATTGCGAAGAGTGCAAGTCGGATCTGTGGCGGAGAGGGCTCCGCAGGGAAAATCCGGTTTGGCGACCCCTTTGGGGGAAAGAGGGAAGCTGACAAAACTGGAGAGAAACCTGTCCGTTTGCTAGTTTAATACAGGTTGATGGCGGCTTTTCCTTGTTATTGGCGGCCGTTGATTTCCAGTAGGCCCAAGAATTTGGTGGAGTCGGTGAGATGATTTCCATCGTTGGATTGGCAAGTAGGAGTTCTTGCTTAGGCCTGTCAATTGTGGATCGGCAAGTGCCTGCTATGCAAATTGCAAGGTTGTCCGATCAGTTTAGCAAGTCACATGGTTAATGGTTCGATCGGTGGTATACATTTAATTTGAGTAGTTCGTACGATTAATAAAACTTGTAATAATATAAAAATTATTAACATGAAATGATTTTAAGTATATATAAAATATATTTGATTATATTTTGCTTACCAACTATATTCATATTTAAATAAAATATAATATTCCAAACAAAATAACAAATACTCAGATTTATATATGAGTTAAATATAACATTTAGCGTCAACACGAAAGTTTTATACTTGAATCCAAAAAATAACATCAACATTTAACTTTTAAATTCATGAAATAAATTATAAATGACTATTTTTATTAATTAAATTCGCTCAAACGACGTCACTGTGTTTATAGAACGAAAATCGACCATATTGATCATACTGGTATTCAAGCCGATTTCATGATCGACATCGGTTGGACCTGCATTCCACCACTGTGACAACCATGTTGCTATGGCATCTATTGGGGTCCTAGGAATTTTATCAGGATGTCCTCTTCCAAAATTAAATTATAAATCATCTCTCAAAATTAAAATAAAATTTTTTAATACAAACATCTGAATGGTAAAAGTTACCACAAAGTACCAGGATGTGTTTTCATATTCTAAAAAAAATGTAAAACGCACTAAGTGTATATAGTGTCAAACAAATCTATTTCAATATATCCTACTAGACTATCATCCACGAGCCGGTTGCCAATTCGTGAAGCGTGTTCTTGATGTAACCCAACGTTTAGAAAACTCTTTCAACATTTGCAGTTGCAATCGATAAAATCAATGCAAGTTTGAGAAAAAATAGACTCCTGAATATGACAGATTCACTTTGGTCTCTACTATCAACAATTAAATTATAATCCATGAAATATCATACACTTTGGTCTCTACTATCAACAATTAAATTATAATCCATGAAATATCTCATCATAGTTAATCTAACAGATTTTAATCACATATTTGTCAACAATAAAATCTAACAATTAGCAAAAAATATCGAGGATATTGTTGACATCTAACCCCAGTAATATAGAACATTTTTGTCCATTTGAAAACATTAGAAAATAATTGACAAAATGTTAAACTATGAGCCCTTTATTGGTATTAGACAAAAAAACACAAATTCTTCGTAACATAGATTGGGTAAAATTAGGAGTAATTCTTATAAAAAAAAGTACAATTATGTTTCTCTCTCTAACTCCTAAATGCTCTCAAGGAGAAATCCATTTTCTAGACGCCATGATGGGAGCATTCAATGAGAGTTTTTTTAGAGCAAGTACATATGGAACCCCTCAATAAAAAAAAATTCCAAAATAACAAAGAAGACATGGAACCCCAACGATAGAGCTACCCAAAATACCTCCAACCACCTCGTCTTAAACATTCAACCACAGGTTGTGGGAGCAAGATGAAGAGGAATGGCGATGTTGTTGGGCAAGTGGCTTATCAAAATTAACATAAACTTGATGAAGACAAAGATAGGGAGACAAAGAAAAATGGAAGGAACTCGGACTAGAGGAAATGGTTTGGGGACTGTACTTGCAACTTGCAAGCCCAAACCAGAAGTCTTGCTTAGTGAGTGGGGAACATCAAGCTTAGCCCAACCCAAAATCCCCCATATGACCTTAGTGCATTAAGCCCAAAGAAACTATGAAAAAAGGATTGGTTGTTAGAAAAAAAAAGGGCAATGTCTATTTTTTACCCAAACCTTTTTCAAATTCTTTTATTTTAACCAAACCTATTGAATTCCTAAAAATTATCCAAACGTTAACTCTCCGTCAACTTTTCTGTTAGTAATGCTGACTAAGTATGACCATAATGAGTTGACTTCCTACGTGGTGGTCAGAATACCATCATTTACTATTTTTAATAAAAAGATTATCAAAAAACAAAACAAAATCCCACCTCTCACGTGGACGAAATAAGTAAGGGTAACAGAATGAATGCCCAGACTTTGATAAATTATAATACGTTTGGATAATAAATAGAATTTCTATAGGTTTGGTTAAAATAAAAGAATCTGAAAAAGGTTTGGGTAAAAAATAGACATTGCCCAAAAAAAAAAGAGCAAGTCGGATAATCTACTTCCATTGGAGGATGTCCAATCTTGAAAGGAGACCAAGATGATGACATGCGATCAATAGGAGAAGCTTGGAGGAGCTAAATGTAGAAGGAAACATCTCAGATGAGGATAATCGGTGTCCTCAAAGACAACAATGGCCCGTCTTGAGCCACCTAATAATGAATGAAGATCATGAACTTGAATTGTAGGGGGTATGACGAACCCCTTACAAGAGAGTATTGTACAAGATTTTTAAGAACTTGTGGCCTCTTGATTTTGTTCCTGATGGGAACCAAGAAGAGTGATGGCTTTGTGGAGGAAAAAGGAGGGGAACGAGGCTTACCAATTCAGAGTATGCAGAACCTAATTTAGGAGCAAGTGGTTTAGCATTTTGGGGAAAGATGATGTCAATGTAGTAGTCTCGAGTCCTGTAACTCGTTTTATATATGTCAATATCAGTCTATGTACTAGTATTTTCTTCTATACTTTTTTCATGCTCCTACCAGAAATATTGGTAGGGATCACGTTAGCACCATTAGAGACAATACTAAAGAGAAATGGCTAGTGGTGAGTGACCTAAATGTAGTCATGTATGAGTCGGAAATATTGGGGAGGTCTCCTCTGAAGAATGATAACATTTCCCCTTTCAAGTACTTCCACTTCTGCAATGCTCTGGTGGATCTCGGATTTAATGGCCAACCTTTTACATGGAAAAACAGACAAAAAGGTCAAACTTGATCAGAGTAAGATTAGACAGAGTCCTTAGCCCGATGAGCTGGATAACTTCTTTATATGATGCAGTGGTGTTTCAAGAGGATATGATTGAATCATACCATTGCCTCTTAAGGATGAGTCTATTTTTTAAAAAAATAGCAGGAAGAATAAGATATTAAGATATGACAAAAGATGGTGGGAAAATTATCAGTGTAAATCATTGACAACATCTGGAGTGAGAAAGGAGAAACATAGACCAAACTGAACAGATGTAGAACAGAGTTTAAGAATTGGGTTAGGGAGGATGGAAGTAGCAAATGAGAAAGGGAGAAACAAATAAAACTCAAACTGTATGAACTAAGGGGGCCATACCGCAATCTAGCCAAAGTAGAGGAAGAGAAGAACTTAATAGAGAAATTTGGGAGGATTTGGGCAGGGGATGATGAATTTTGGGCACAAAGATTACACTTCAAAAGGCAACAAAAAGTAGACAAAAATGCAACATTTTCCATAGGAATGGCAATGGGGTAGGTCCGGGGCGGATATCTCGATACCCATACCTGCCCCATGGCAGGTCGGGTCCAGGTCGGGTAATTTATCACGGGCGCGGGTCGGGGCAGGTCGACCCATTGGTATGTAATTTATGTGAATAACATTAGAAATATTCGTTCTTTTCATTGAAAGACCAAGAAAGAAACCATAATATGATAAAATATAGTTAAATTATTGAAGAAATTGAGGTTTTCACTTATTTACAACTTTATTATAGCTAAAATATAATATAATAAGAGGAAAATCTTAAGTAATTTCACTAAGATTATGGGGTCGTTTGGAAGTTACGTATGTTAAATCGTTGTATTGTTATGAATCACTGTGATATAAATGTATGCATTGATACAATAGATGCATTTTGAAATTACATTGTTTGGTTGTTGAGATTATAATTTATGAATGGATTGTTATAAAGTTACTTTATAAGAAAATGTCATATTTGTCCTCCACTTTTAATATAAAACAAAAGAACTATGTACATAATTGGAAAAAGTAAAGGTGCTCAATTATTAAACCAACAATCATAACAATCTCAACTTTTAGTCGAGATTGTACAATCCCTCATTTTTGTTGATTGTTGGTGGGACCCACACAAAACAATACATGCATTCTTTTGCAACTTGACACTTCCAAACGTTGTATTGTGGACAATACATGTATTTAACAAATACAACACTAACAATCGCGACTTCCAAACGACCCCTATATATGTAATTTAGGCAAGAACGGGTCGAGAATGGGGCGGGTCAGGGCAGGTCGGGTCGATGAGAGGTACCCATGCCCGCCCCGCCGCGCCTACGGGGCGGGTTTGACCCGCCCCAAAACAGGTCAAACAGGTCGGGTAAATCGGGTCAGGTCGAAATTGCCATCCCTAATTTTCTATGCAAGCATAATTAAGAGACGCCATTTAAACATAATCCTTTATCTAAGAGATATTGAAGGTAATTGGATGATTAACGAGCCAACATCGAGGGAGCTTTCTAAATATTACTTCCAATACCTTATGCCTTCCCGGAACCGTTCTACCGAAAATATTGGAGAAACCGGGGAGATTCTTATGCAATGAAATAAAAAAAAAATTCAACTCGAAACAATGACTACCTGAATAAATCTCATATCATGCTCATTCCCATAATTAACTACCTTGAATTGCTTAGCCATTTCATACCCATAAGCCGCTGCAACTTCACATACAAAGTAATAACCAAGATTATGATAACCACTCTGACAATGACTACTTGTATTAATATATGAGCTACAAACAGAATTTACAGGAGGTTGTCAAATCTAGGATTCATAATTGTTTATGAAGTACTCAACCACTTCAAGAAGCCCAAGACGGTGAATAGGAAATGTATGATGCTTTAACTGGGCCTAGGAAAAGCCTACAAATTAGTCAATTGGAATTGCTTAGACAAGATCATGTTAAGTAATACGATTCTCTCCCCAATGACATGTACGGGTTAGAGAGTGTGTTCACACAATGGATTTTAGTGTCATGTTCAATGGGGAAGTGACGACTGAAATCTAGCCCTCGAGGAGAATTCTTCATAGAGATCCTCTCCCCTCATCTCTTTATATTAATGTCTAATGTTTTGGCTTTCCTGATTGAAAAAATAGTTAACAATAATAATTTCTCAGGACTAAAACTAAATCACAACTACCCACTCATAACTCATTGTTTGTTTGCATATGACATTATAATCTTTGATAAAGCCCATGTGGCACTAGCTAATCATATTATGAGGATTATCGATGATTAATGACCGATTAAGAGATAGGAGGTCAATAGAATAAAATCTTCAATCTTCTTCAGCAACAATGTGCCACAAGATGAATAATGAGAAATAGCTCAAGCAACCGGTTTTTAAGACTCCAATTTTCATTCCAAATACTTGGGAGTTCCAACATCATGGGGAAGGTCTAAAAAGGAAAGATTCGCCTTCCTATTATAGAGAATTGAAAAACCGATGGAAGTTTAGAAAAACAAATTAATATCTTTAAGAGAGAAGGAACCCTGGTAAAGGTTGTGATCCAGCAATTCCTACATTTGTAATATGCATTTTCTTACTACCGAAGACAACCACGAAAAAATGGATATCGTGCTCAAAGTGGGGGCGAGCACTGGGCGGGTAACTCGCCGAACCCACCCAAATCCACCAGCTAAAACCCAAACCACCATAGTATGGGTGGGTACAGTGGACGGATGTGGGTTATTTCCAGTCTAACCCTTCATGAATGGGTGTGGTTTGAACCCACCCATAATAGAAATTAAAACGCTAAAAATCCTCCTCCAAACACCGGGTTAAATGCATGGCGTGCCACTTAAGTATAAGATATGTTGCGCATTAACTAGTTAACTTATTTTTGTTGCAATTAAATAACACAATGCAAATTTTGGTTGCAACTAAACCATATAACCTCGTTCAGGAATAATCAAGACAATATATCATTTGTTCTGCATGCTTCCTTCATGCCAGCGTTTACTTGTCACTGCAACAAGGATTCCCCCCTTGTCGGTTTCTGCTTTCTCTTCTTCCTGCGCAAGTAATTAGTAGGGTTTCCCCTCTCTTGTGTTGCTATTTTGACCGTGTAAATTGCAAATTATGTATGAAGGGGAAGGGGAAGATGAGAGAGGGGGAAGGGGTCGATATTAAATATGATCACAAATTTGGCATTTGTGCAAAATTATTAGAGGTTTTACTTTCTTCAAAATGATAGTGTAATAATTTTTGTTTGATACCGCCATTAAGTTTGTGGACCAAAATTATGATAATGAAACTGAAATTAGATTAATAAGACTTAGTTGCAGCCGAAAACAAACATATGTGTTTAATTGCAACAAAAACAAGTTAGGCGGTTATTGTGTAACATACTCTATACTTAAGTAGTACGTCATGCATTTAACCCTTCTAACACTCCTTATTGGAGCAAAATTCTTTATGGTGCGGCTAGAATGCCAAATGTAGCCCCAAACATTTTAAACTTTGGCACTCTTTATTGAGATGGTTTTCGTGCAAATTGGGTTTCACGTTCATGTGCTCATAATATCCTCCTGCAGGACTAAATCAATACTCGGATATCATGTCTCCCTATTGTCGATCTAGCAATCGAGTCGGCTTGGGTAATTTCGTATTGGGGATCTCGAGTTACGGGTCATCACAGGCGAATCTTGTTTGGGTTGAGTGATTTTGAATCAAATATTGACCCAATCCAAAACTTTTGGGCCGGGTTTCGGGTTACGAGCGTTCTTAGAAACAAGAATAAATATGCTTCATATTTTTTAACGAAATACAAATTTTTATATAATTATGTCAATAATTTGTCTAGCACATGTCAATTCATATATGCTCAAATCCTCACATGTTAATTAAAGGAAATACACGTTGCACAAATCTCCCAAAAAATGGTCATGAGAGTAATACTAGTACAAGAAGCACAATGATATTTGATTATCCCTACACTCCAAACTTGTTTGCATATCGTTGTGAATTTTGTTAAGCATATCACTGATTCTATCATTTTGAGAATGAGAAATGATATGGAACTCGTTAAATGGGTCGATCCGCTGATCCATCCAATCCAACCAAAAAAATTGCGGGTCAATCCGGGTTTTAAAAACCTCAACCACCAATTTTAATTTGGTTCGGGTGGGCATAATTCTCTAGGTCTAATAGATTGGGTAAAACCCGAACCGAAGGTCAAGAGAATGAGATGAAGTGAGATGTTGGAGGATATATATGTAAATTTATCGATTCCACTAGCAAAAAGCGAAGCTCTCGCTTTCGATTCAAAGACCGCCGAGCCCGAGAGAAAGAGGAAGAAAATACTGCTGAAGCCAGAGAGCGAACAGTCAGTTTCCGGTCTCGCTTCTCTTTCTTTCACACCGCGCAAACATGGTACTGATTCTCTCTCTCTCTCTCCCTCCCTTCTCAGTTGTTTATGGGCTCTCCGTGTCCCCAATCGCTCTTGTTTCTTTTGCCGGCGACGATGAGTACACTCCATGCTGTGAATTTCGACCTAATATTACCTCCAATTACTCAAGTTTTGTATTGGCGGTGTTGATTATTATTTTCTTGCAGTTGTTCTTCTCTTACTTCAAAGACCTGGTGGGCAGAGAAGTGACGGTGGAGCTCAAGAATGATTTGGCAATAAGAGGAACCCTTCACTCTGTGGATCAATACCTCAACATCAAGCTCGAGAATACTCGCGTTGTTGACCAAGACAAGTACCCTCACATGGTACACCCTATTTCTTCTTTGCTCTGTTACCTACCGTCTATTGTATTTCATATCTGGATGTGGTCGATCTGTGCATTTACGGTGCCCTGTAAGCTAGGGTTTGCAGCTTAAGAAGGATGGCTAGGGTTTTTTTTCTTCTTTCCGCCATATGTGTATATGTATATTTATGTTCGGAACAAAAGCTGCGATGCACATTAGGATGCAGTTACTTCCTTGGTGTTAACTCGTAGGCCGAATCCATGCCAGAGCCAGACTCTCACTTTTGGCTTGTCCATCCTAGTGGGGTTAGGTTGTATTGGTTAATGGGTACTGCAAGGAACTGTTTTTTGTTTGTCTGAAATTACTTTTTTCAAGGTTGTTCTCTTCCCGGCAGTTGAATGTTGATCTTAATATTTCAATCTATGTTGGAATTTTTGTTGTTACGTGTAGCTGAAATCAAATTTGTGATCCTTTGGTGGGCATTTTACTGGCATCTGACTAAATGTCCCCTTCTACTTCGGTTCTCCCTTGTCCAATCCCTTAGATTGTAGACTTGTAGTGTCGCTCGTTTTTGGAACCCTATGAAATGAACCGAGATATGTTCTGAGAGGCAACACTAGACTTACTGATAGAGGATTGAGTTTTAACGAACTTTAGCCTGGCCCTATGAGTATCCATTTAATAGCTTACAACAGGGTTCAGATGTTGCATTTTCAATTTTTAGCGAGAAGGAAATAAAGGATGGTTTCGTCATTTGATCAGACCTTTTCAAAGTTCATCTCTTTTACCCTCTTCAGTGAAGTATCTTATAGTTGCTCCTGCTCTATCAAAGTTCCCTAGTTGTCTGCCTGATTGAAGTATAAGTTTCCTGACAGCTTTTCAGGTACATAGACCTTAAAGTATGGTTTTTCCTTCCATTTTACTGTGTTTATATATTCGCTTCTCTATCAATCCTTCGTGATAAATGTGTCATGTTTCTAACGTGTTGAATGCTTCTCAGATGGTTGATGTGTTGAATTTTGTGAACTGATGGCATGTTCAACTTTCTTGTCTAATAGTCTTGCCTGGCTTATGATATCCTTAAGTTTATGTGTATCTTTGCTAGAGTGGTCATCATAAACGTTCCTCAGTCCTTCAAACCTGTGAATGCAAATATGCTTCAGTTATTAGAATTATCCTTCCATCATATGTATATTTTTTGCTTCATCGTTTCCTTTCTGTTGATTTTAGTCAGCCTAGTTAATTAACCCACAGGCTACCTTTTTTTTTTCTTTCTGTTTTGCAGCTTTCAGTGAGGAACTGTTTCATCAGGGGGTCCGTGGTTAGATATGTTCAGCTACCTCCGGATGGCGTTGATGTAGATCTGCTTCACGATGCTACCAGGAGAGAGGCTCGTGGCGGTTGAATGTTTTTTCTGTGTCGAACCATTTCCTCATGTACCATGTCGCTCAGTAGTTGATGTAACTGTTCAACCTCTATACAAAGCTCTCTTAACAATCAAAATGTTGCTTTCTATGGAAGGCAAAGTGGGAAGTTACATAAACAGAGACGAGGCATGGGAGCACCATGATTGTTTTTAACATTTCTGCTATTACATGGAACCTGTGTGATAATCTGCATTTTGTTTGGTTTTTTATTCTCTCCATCAGAGCAAAAACCTTCTTTCTTCAGTTAACGAATTTGATGAACCAGTCGAGCATGTTTTGACGGGCTTCCTCAGCATTCCTGACGGATGCCTCATCTTCATCTTTGTACTTGGTAGTCCATCCATGAGCAACCCCTCCAAATATCTTCACATATCCTTCAACCTGATGATTGACATGCAATTCAAACGAGTTCCGCATGACCAAACCGAAGCGCTTCAGGACGAATCAGCTTTTCCACATCTTATGGAATCATACCTCGGGTTTGGTTGACAGAACTTGTTCAAATTGCCTGAGAAGCTCAGGTGGAGAAAACTTGTCGATTTCAGCACCCAGAACTGCAATTGGTTTCTTCACATCTGCAAAAACAAAGGAGAGCCATCCAACATATGACAGCTTCTGATGGTAAAAGCCTAAAAGGTAAAGGAAAAATAGGACAAGAGTTGGATTAGAAGTGTTAATCCAATCCAATCTTGATTCAGTCTGTTCTCTTTCATTTATGTTTTTATAGAAAATGGGTTGAAATTGAATCATTTTGTCTTCCGGCTAGTTCGATTCAATTAGAACCAATTTGACTCAACATGAATCGAATCGTTGTGCACCCCCTAACGAAGATAGATTGTTACCCTTGATGTCATCCACGGTGACCTGGGATGGGTGCAGCAACACTGCAGCTTGAATGACATCAGACTTGGCCAGTTCCACAACCACCTTACCTAAATCCACAGCATTGAATAAGGGCAAGTGTCAGCCTTAAACAAATGGGCAGAAGAATTACACACACCAGAAGGAAAGGCCAGGAGGAAGAATCATCTCTCACCACCCCAGCAAAAACCTGCAGCTCCAACTGCAGACATGCCTCTGCTGCTTCTCAGTGCAGCAATCACTTGTTTAGCATCTTCAACGCCTTTCTCCTAATAAACACAAGGCATGTGTGAAAACATGACAGGAGGGTCTGTTTTATGAGCAATTGAGTCGAAAAGGGAGAGGACAAAACTGGTCTGTGTGCTTCCTTCCAGACTGAAACAGGCATTTCAGACCCTGGAACGTACGGATCCCCATGGAAGAAGTCTGGAACCACGACGTAGAACCCTGCTGCTGCAACCTTGTCAGCCAGTTTCCTTATTTTGTAGTATTCATGAACATCAAAGATAAGAGTCTTGGTGTCAGAAAAACCAGTTCATCAAGTTACTTGACACAGTATGATGAACATTGACGAAGAAACAAAGAGAGGCCAACGGAGAGGATCGAATATGTACCTCAGATTTGGAGTTTCATAGCCTGCAACAAAGAAGTGATGAGCAATAAGTGAACTGAAATCAATGAAGTAGCCATTCCAGGAAAAGAGAAGAACAAAACTAGTGGGGAAGATGGGTTTGTGGGTACCCAAAACGTCAGAAGCAAGGAGAAGGGAGAGGCTGGAATCAGAAGAACCAGTGGCGTAGGCTCTTAGCCCTCCAATTTCTGTCACTGACCCTGACATGATCTCAGATATCTGATGAACTGAGAAAGAGAAACAAACCCAATAACCAAGTGAGAAGGGTGCTAATTAAGGAGAGAATAAAATTCTAGTGTGGAAGTTGTGTTGTAATCATCGACCATTATGTGCCAAATTCGTTACATATATTTGATTATTGTGAAGGTGGCTTGAAAGAGATGTCCATTGCTGGATTTTGCTCCTGTCAAGGAATTTGTCAAATAATTTATTCCTGATAATAAAAGTATGATATATAATATCATATTTGTATGATTTATAGTATTAAATTAATAAAAGTATAAATTTTATTCTCGTATGATTGAATCAAATTTTCATCTAGCTCAACTCAAAGTGTGACTAAAACAAATCGTAGTCTCTTGCAATTTAAGAGTGGATTTGAATTCATCATCATTCAATTCGAAACTCATTGCTTGGATGGTAAGAAAGATCAAAATCCATCCAACCCAACGCTTGCACACAAAACATCTAAAGAAGCCCTTTTGCCATCCTTTTTCGGGTTTTCCTCTTTGGTCCCTCTCTCCGGGATGTCATTTCCCCGTCTTTCTTTTTCTAGCCTACTTTCATAAACCCTCTTCATCCCCGGTGGAGCTCAGTGGCTTCTTCCCCGTCTCTTTGAAGCCGCCTCCTCCGTACTCTGGAAAAACAATTCCTTTTCGCCTTAGAGATCATCACCAGCCGGCAGCCGCCATTGTCAAGCTGTTTCTATGGATTCTGAGTCCGACCCATCTTCAAAAACTCAACCCAAGAGGTATCTCCTCTCTTGACTACTCCTTTTACCGGAATTTTTCGAATGGGTTTCTGCCTTGTAACTTTTTCCGATTCTGGCTAGTACTGTTTTGACTTCATCGGTTTAGTCGCTCAGTTTGTATCCTGAACAACGCCAAAACATTGGTTTTTTTTTTGCTTTGCCTTCTCTATTCCATAGTCTTTTCCTTCTCCAGAAACTAGTAATGTACCATCGGCTTCGATGATTTACTAAATATTTCGTTGTATACAGGCACAGATGCTCTGCATGCTTCAAGCAATTCAAGAGAAAGGACCATCTTGTTGAGCACATGAAGATATCATACCACTCCCACCATCAGCCAAAATGTGGCCTCTGTCGAAAGCATTGCAAGTGTTTTCAGTCTTTGAGAGAGCATCTCACTGGTACAATACCCTTCCATTTCAGTTTCTGTATGTACTTAAAGAGCCCTATCGCTGAATCATTAGTTGTATCTGGTCCTCATTATCTTCTAGGTAAACTGCCAAGCTCATCTTGCTCAAAGATTTTCGCTGACCGAGGTTGTGATCTTTGCTTGAATCTTTTTGATAATGCCGATGATCTAAGCAAGCATAGAGAAAAATGCCGCTTTTCTCCACCTACTCCTTTGGTAAGTTTTTTTAATCAAAACTTGGCATGGATGGAACTGATATTGCTGGTGGGTTTAACTGATGAGTCTTGAAATCGATTGCTGCTTTCAACTCTTGTTATTGAATTTTGCAGGCAACAAAGTTAGTGGCTTCTTCCCCTGATGTACTAATGGGATATTTTGGGGGAAAAGGCATTGGTGAAGGTGTGAAAGCCATTGCTATTGATTGTGAAATGGTTGGTGGTGGAAATGATGGGACAACTGACTTATGTGGTCAGGTATGCCTTGTTGATGAAGATGAAAATATTATTTTCCACACATATGTTCAACCCCAATTTCCTGTCACTGACTACAGGTAATGTGTAATGCTTTTGCATCCATCACATGCAAATCTATACTTGTATAATGGTAAACCTGAAGCAAATCCTACTGCATGTCTGTGTTTTATTTATCAAGATCTGAAGTAACTGGATTAACTGAAGAGCATCTGAAAGATGGCATGCCACTCAAGCAAGTGCAGGAGATAATTTCTGACATATTGTACAATGGAGAATCAGTTGGGAAAGCAAGGTCGGATGGTGGGAAAGCTAGGCTGCTCGTGGGGCACAGCTTGGATCATGATCTGGATTGTCTGAGAATTAGCTACCCTCCCAATTTGTTGAGGTAACTTCGCTTATCTGTGGCTTGCTCGGTCATAGAATGAGGCCGAACAGAATTGCATCTGAAGGGATATTGATGTAATGTGTTATAAGTCTGCACTGACTTGATATAGCTAACATCAAACTTTCTGCATCCCTCTTGATGTAAGATTTGCTCTCAAACATTTGCATTGCATCTCTTGATCTTTTTAAGTTTGCTGAACAATCCATTATGCAATGCCTAGATATGCAAGAACATACTACTTTGCGAAACTGGAGTCATTAATTATCTTGACTTTTGTTTAATTGCAGGGACACTGCCAAATATCGTCCACTGATGAAAACCAACCTGGTTAGCTACTCACTCAAGTATCTCACCCATACATACTTAGGGTTAGTCACTCTTATGCTTTTAACTGGTTCTGTTTCTTGGGAAGTGTCCTTTAATCAAGAAACTAAAACCGGATAAACATTGTTGTTTTGTTAAAACAAAGGATTGTACAATCAATCATTGGAGGTTATAACAGAAAAGTTATGGTAAGGTATTTTATTCTGAAACCGTGGTTTAATCGTGATAAAAATGTTTCATAGAGCTAAAAACCGTCTACTGTTTTAGTCTCCGCTAGGACATTTTTCCAGTCGGACTGCCGATATGGTTTCACAAACACCGGTTAAAACACAACCAGATAAGGGTGATTCTTGACCCGCCATACTATACTATACTATAATTTATAAATACCATTAACAGTTTCTGAATTCAGATCTTGATAGGGACATCTCTTATTTAAGTATAGGAAATGGTCTGGAGAATTGGTAGCACGATACTTTTCAGAAATCTTGGTAAGACTTGTGTGGTCATCAATTTCAATTTTTCCAACCGACGGTCGGGTCAATCAGTGGTGACATGGACATAGAACATTCTGATATTTAATTATTTTTTTAGGTAGGCAGAAATGTTTTCTCCAGTATTCCATACGTGTACTCAAACTCCCGACACCCTATCTAGACGATGTTGAAAGCTTGTGCATTTCTTTGTAGCTGCTGCATGGATGAGTTGAGACATGTTTGGTTTTGCTTGCCTAATTACAGGTACGAGATTCAGACAGGAGAGCATGATCCCTACGAAGATTGTGTGTCGGTGATGAGACTGTACAAACGAATACGAAGCCTGGATCACTATCAGGTGGAACAGCAAGTGAAGAAGATGATCCAGAGAAGGCGAGATGGTTATTTTTCCTGGAAGCTCAACGAATTAGAGAAGATGTCACCCGACGAGCTGTACCAAATCTCGGAATCGAGCTACAAGTGTTGGTGTCTGGATTTGGGCAGCAGCAGCAGCAGCAGCAGCTGACGTTAGTGTCTAAGGGCGTAGAGAGGATGGATGATGTGATCGGGGAGAAAGCAACCAGTTTTTTTTTGTTTTGGTAGAGTCGTGGAGATGACTTTGCTCTTCAGATAGTGTGAATGATCGACGTTCGAAGGCGACGGCTACTCCATTGTACAGCGGCTTATCGTTATTCTAGAACTAGAAGAATTGTATTTATTGTACGGGGAATACGGTTCAGTGGATTTGGAGCTTCAACAAAATTGGAAAATTTGAAACTTAGCTATGTTATAGACCGTTGCACGCTGCTTTTAACAAGCTATGACCATCTCCGACCATCCTCAATTAGGAGTGAGTCGGGTCGGTCGGTCGGTTAGCGATTAATCGTTAATCAATAATGTGGTAACCTGCCAATCAAAAAATAATTACTGTTAGCTGATACGTCAAGACTTGATGATTAATTGTTAACTATTTATGCGATTACTAGTAATCGTCTATCCGCATGAAAGAGAAAATGGTAGTATGTTTGTAGATTTGGAGAAGGTAATGGGCATAATTGTACTTTTACATATTGTATTAGAATAAAGTCAAGGGTAGGAAAAAATCTAGCGGCACATTCCCTTCTTTTCATCACTCTCGTCTCTCACTTTTTTTATTTACAAATATAAATACGAATACACTAATTCTGTGACCCAACGTACAAAAGAAAACACAACTCTTATTGTTCTTCAATCTCGAACAGTTGAATCTTAGCTGACACCTCTTCTCCTACCTTCTCCTCTCTTCTCCGCCCAATAAAATACAAGAGGAGGGCTGAGGGTGGCGACAACATTGAGGTCAACCATTGTCGCTTCTCTCTTTCAATCATCCTCCCGTCAATCTATTGGGCAAGCCACTAGAGAGGGTCCTTAGCACGACGACAAGCGATTTGTAGTTAACGATAAACTCTTTCAACATCCTCTGTTTTTCGTTTCAGCCGAGAAAACGAGGAGATTGGAGTCGGTGAGTGCAAAGTGGTAAGAAAGGAAGTTGTTTCCTTTGTTGAGTGTGACATTTTCCCTATTTTGTGTGGTTAACAATCCTTATTGGCTAACCGCAAATCGTCGATTATTAACCGTTTATGACTTGGTAATCCAATAAGAGAATTTGAGCTTACGTTAAACGACCCACATTCTCCTTACTGTTGCGGTTAGGGGCTAAACCATTAAGGGCATGACCGTTTATCACCATTATTCACAATATGATGGCCAAAACATCATAGAAAGGTAATTTTCCCCACCTTTTGTTTTACAATAGAGGGGAAAATGGATTGGGTGGGTTTTAGTGGATGGGAATCAGGCTCGTCCCGAATATCACAATTAAAATCTCGATCAAGGTTCAAGTATAAACCTAGTCGTGTACAATATAAGGCAAGTATGTTTTAAAAGTCAAATCCGGGCTGATCCATCTACCCCTCCTTCAACTGTTTGAAAGATTATCTAGCAAACGAATTTTGGTTAAAACTATTGACTATGATTAAAAGAAATTGTAAAGGTAAATGGTTTTGAACACTAATTGAGAAGGCTTCACCCGGGTGTTGCTCCCCCTAGCTAGTGATCACGATTTGTTGAATCGAATGCAAATGTGTGGTAAAAGCAGTTGTAAACCGTAAGGAAGCACAGCAAGTGAACAAACTTCACTCTATTGGTCACTAGGCCAAGGGATATCAAATAAAGCTACCAAAGTATCTCTATTGACCAATAGAATAAGAGTTGCTTAGACTTCTCCCTCGAACCGTAGTCCGGACGACCAAAATACAACCTACCCAAGGTGCTAAAAGAGGTTTGCCCTAATTCGACCTAAGTAGGTGACTCAATTTGGCCAATGAATTCCAGCTTTTAAAAGCCTCTTAGCAAGAATGGGATTTCCCTATACCTAGGTCAAATTGGCTTAAGAGTTGGGAATGGAAAACATAACACAACCTTCATGAAAATAACTCAATACTTGTATTAAAACACAACCAGACACAAATCATTCAATCCATACAAACATTCACATAATTATAGCTAGGGTTTACAAACACCCAAGTGAAAGAAAGAACTACTCCATGCTAAGATGTGAGAATACACAAAGGAGAAGAGAAGAGACCATCATGAGAGGGTTTCCTTCTTCCTTTGGTGCATAGATCAACCTTGGAGCATGAGATTCCCAAGTCTTGGAGTTTGGATGAAACTCGAACCTTCTTCATTTCTCTTGTTCGTCACTTTCTCTCTCTAGAAATCTGAAGAAGAAGATTTCTCACACTAGGTTCTCCCCCTTTCTCTTTCAGCTCCACTCCCCTTTTATACCCAGATCGACGACTTTTCACGATACCAGTTCACGACCTTGAACTATAAGCCTGAACCGTGATCCTGAACAAAAGTGCGCCGTTTTATTAATAATCTTCACGGTATGGAGCAGATTATCACAGTCGAGTGAACGTGATGTCCCGAATGCCCACGAGATGGAAAAAATTCTATGGACTCCATGCACTTCACGGTCCATGCGTCGTCATCACGGTCGAGCTGACCGTAAGCTCCTGGCCTCCACTGTGAGTGAACTCCTGCTGATTGCTCCCTTTTGATCCGTTTTAGCCCCTTTTCGTCCTACTTTCGTTCTCTAGGTCGATTCCACCTACTAGGATTTGAAACATACTAAAAACAAGAACAACCTAGCGTAAAATCGAACTTCATGGAGTGAAAGTGGCTCAAACATCTAAGAAACACGGGGATAAAATGTGTACAATTGTACCCAAATCAGATAGTTTCTGTCACATCACATTACATAAAACAATTTTTTGTATTGTGTCTGCTAAAGAATAAAAAAAAATGATACATTCTAAACAATCTCAACGAAACAATCATAATTGCCAAACAATCCTTGTTACGCAAATTAGCGTATCGAAAATTACTGATAATTTTGTTAGAGGTTAGTATTTTAAGTATAATTTGCCCAAAGAAAAATAAGAGTTGTAATCTCATTAGTCAAAATCATGGTCACAGTCATATTATGGATCCTATCTTGCTAGTATTTTCAAAAACAACAGCACATAAATACACCGCGACAAAACCAAATTTGTTTATTCCTTCTTCTTTTGTCTCCGACTCAATAACGTCCCACAACAGAAACTCCAACGCCGGCAGGTCCGCGCCCCACCGGTTCTCTGCCCTCGCTCCTCCGTCACTCTACCGCTTTCCCAGTAATTTCTCTTCTCATCAATTTCTTCCGCCGCTCTCCCCACTTCGCTGATCGTTAAGCTCTGAATATTCCTACATGCATTCGTCGGCGTAGACTCTTCTACAAGAAGAAAAAAGAAAAGAAAAAAGAGGGAAGCAAAATTGAAATTGGAAGCGGACCTCCGCCGCCGCCGCCGCCGGGAATTGCGATATGGCGGTGAACGTACAGCATAATTTCCCGCAGAGCCTGTGGGACTCGGTCCTCCAACTCACCAAGTCGGCCCAGGAGAAGAACGGCGACCCTCTCCTATGGGCGATTCAGCTCAGCTCCAGCCTCGGTTCCGCCGGCGTAGGTTTGCCCTCCGCCGACCTCGCCCACCTCCTCGTCTCCCATATCTGCTTTGGAAACCACGTTCCCATCGCATGGAAGCTCCTCGAGAAGGCCCTCACTGTCAAGATCGTCCCTCCCATGCTCGTTCTCGCCCTTCTCTCCACCAGGTTTCCCTCCCTTCCTCCTTCTTCTACTTTCCTTTCCTCTGTTTTTGCTCTCTTCCGCTTGTTCAACTGTACTTTTTTGTCTTCACATTAGGGTGATTCCAAATCGACAGTTGCATCCTGCCGCTTACAGACTTTACATGGAGCTAGTAAGACGACATGCCTTCGCGTTTTCATCTGAAATCACTGGCTCAAATTGTCCCAAGTAGGTCTCTTAGGGCGGAAATGATTTTTTTTTTTGGGTCTGATCTGGGCCTGTTTCTGTTTATTTCGAGGAGTTCTGCTTGTGATTGAGGTTTGTTGTGGAATTTCAGGATAATGAAATCCATAGATGATGTTCTTCATCTCTCTGATGTGTTTGGACTTCAAGTGAACGAACCTGGGTCTCTTCTAGTTCAATTTGTGTTTTCAATGATATGGCAGTTGCTTGATGCGTCACTGGACGATGAAGGGTTGCTGGCACATACCTTAGAGAAGCAATCAAGGTGGGTTGTGGTGGCGCAGGATATGGAAATTGATGGCCATGCTGGCAACACAAGAAATGAGCATAGTGAAGGGTTGCTGAAAGGAAATACTACGATGGCTATTGAGCTTATTGGGGAGTTTTTGCAGAACAGATTAACTTCCAGAATTCTTCACCTGGCTTCTGCGAACATGTAAGCTGAGAATTAGAATTATTTTGATGTTTCTTTTGTTAGCCGGAGGAATGGAGAGTTCTGTTGAATGAAGAGAGTAAATTAATTCAAAGCTCTTAACGTCCTCCTTAGGCCTTCTCACTGGGGAAGCTTTGCTCAAAGACTACAAATACTCCTAGCACATTCAGTAGCTTTAAGAAGTTCAAAAAATTTCACACCAGAGGACTTTGGGCAGCTGTTATCCAAGACAATTATACCTTTCCATCGTTTTTTCAAGACAAAGCTACAGTTTGAGTGCCATGCAGCTATATCTTCCACCTCTACTAAATCATCTGCTGGCCAATGGCATGGAACGAGTCAGTCTGAACTCTGGCTTCCTATTGATCTCTTTCTAGAAGATTGCATGGATGGATGGCAATTGGCTGTCGTTAGTGCTATAGAGAACCTAGTTGGTATGAGTTGATTCACGAGTTTATATGACACCTTACTTCCTAAATAATTGTTTGTCCGTACTTCGAAAAGGGTTTACTGAAACTGATCGATTGTTTCAGGTCTAGTGAAAGCTTTGCGGGCGGTTAATGGTTGTTCATGGCATGATACCTTTTTAGGACTATGGACTGCAGCTCTACGACTAGTTCAAAGGGTATGTATTCATGCTAAGTGATAAAATAACTAATTGATTGATCCATGTTTATTGCTGTTGTATCTTGATTCCGGAATACAAGCAACACCACCAGTAGCCCCCTAGAACAAATTTGTGTTGCATTCACTCTGGTAGCTTATCCACTTCCGGGTTAACTTCTTCTAACATAACTTGAACATTTTCTCATTCCCCATGACTCTTTCGTCATTTTTTTGGACCTTTTGTTCCAGTTCCCTTCTTAGCTGGCTTTTAATTGTCTTGTGATTTTCTCTGTGTCCTCAAATATTGGTGGTTTCCCCTTAGTACTTCAGCACAGATTATTTGGCTCCTGTTG